GTCTTGCTAGGGATACGATGTCTTGCTTGGGATACGACGTCTTGCTTGGGATACGACGTCTTGCTTGGGATACGACGTCTTGCTTGGGATACGACGTCTTGCTAGGGATACGATGTCTTGCTTGGGATACGACGTCTTGCTTGGGATACGACGTCTTGCTAGGGATACGATGTCTTGCTTGGGATACGACGTCTTGCTAGGGATACGACGTCTCGCTTGGGATACGACGTCTTGCTTGGGATACGACGTCTTGCTAGGGATACGATGTCTTGCTTGAGATACGACGTCTTGCTTGGGATACGACGTCTTGCTTGGGATACGACGTCTTGCTAGGGATACGACGCCTTGCTTGGGATACGACGTCTTGCTAGGGATACGACGTCTTTCTTGGGATACGATGTCTTGCTTGGAATACGACGTCTTGCTTGGGATACGACGTCTTGCTAGGGATACGACGTCTCGCTTGGGATACGACGTCTTGCTTGGGATACGACGTCTTGCTAGGGATACGATGTCTTGCTTGAGATACGACGTCTTGCTTGGGATACGACGTCTTGCTTGGGATACGACGTCTTGCTAGGGATACGACGCCTTGCTTGGGATACGACGTCTTGCTAGGGATACGATGTCTTGCTTGAGATACGACGTCTTGCTTGGGATACGACGTCTTGCTAGGGATACGACGCCTTGCTTGGGATACGACGTCTTGCTAGGGATACGACGTCTTGCTAGAACTTATATGGGTCGGAATGAGTCACCGCGTACCCGCGAATACCCCGTTCACGACCGAAACAAAGCGCCGCTCCTCAGTCTGCCTGTGCAGTAGTTGTAATGGAGGGGACTCTCCTTCCAAAAAATAGCATCTCCTCCTCCTCCCCTTCCTCACCACCATCCTCGTAGGCTATCAACTCCTCTCAGCAAGGTAAATTGACGTTACATTTAATTTTCATTTCAATTTATTTTAATTGATTTATGCATTTATTTTAATTTATGCATGCATTTTAGTAATAAGCAGTGTCTAAATTATTTTATACAACCCCATTAATGTATAATATGCCATATAAAATATCATTTCTTATACTCTGCAACGGATTATTTCCTTTACCTTTATTTCTTATGGGAGAAAAATTCGTTTGGTGTCTACGTCATTTTTGGTATAAGTCCTACCCCTTCTGGAACGAATTAACGACGTATACCGAGGTACCACTGTATTTCTTTCTACTGCAGGAGGAATATGATGAGTTGTGAAGGTATTTTTCACAGATGCCCGGTAAGGTGTGCAGGGGTCAGAATGGATGTGCAGGGGTCAGAAGATTCAATAGCCGAATGGCTCACAGGGCTATACCAAATAAATGAAACTGAAAGAATGTAACAACGAACAATATAAAACCACGACAGCAGTGCAAAGTATGGGAAATGTAAAGAAATCACTTTAAAAAAATCTCAACGAAAACTAAATTATGTTTTATCTTACCAATAAAGCGTACAGAGCTAAAACTCTTTTTCAGAACGTATGTACGTTTGTTGAACTTCTCCGCACACACTCGGCCCCAGCAACGAACACTTAACATCAAAACCCCCGTTCAATCGTACTGCACATCTACGCTCCCGCGCGTCCGTCCCACGCCTTCAGCAAACCCGCGCCGAGCAGGGCGTAGTGCGGTCAAATAACCCGCGTGTGACCCTCACGTGGCGTCGGTATTACCTCGCAGAAAAACTCATTTCCTCGCAGCCCACAGAACCAGGAGATCCACGACACTTCTTCAGAGCTACTCATTTTGCCTGCATAACCGCACGCACACACAGATATACAAATTAGTTGTATTTTAGTAGTAGGTTTTTACCCTTTAAACTGGTACAAAACTGACACCTTTATACAAGGCATCATGTTTGCAATAACCGCAACACAAGCAGTCAAAATTCAAACAAAAAGAAACAACTCTGATGATGATAATGATATGCACTGTCCTTGAAGTTGATTGGTCCACACCCGAGACAGCTTTCCTTAGAGCCTAGTCTCCATTGGTGTTGGACCAGATGACGCCAAAAGGCGTACAACTCAAAAACAGTTGTATTTTACAAGGGAATGCCCCCACTTGAGTTGCCGTGCAGCTATTTTTTCAGAAGCGACCCTGGCTATATCACAAATGATAGCTCAATGAAGTGGGCTTGTCGTGGTCAAAGCGTGGAAATGTACAGCAGTCAAGAACCGGGGGACGTGGAGAAAAATCCACGCGACCACGGGGAGAACATGCAAACTCGAAGCCACGACCCCCTGTATACCAGGCGAGGTATTTAACATCTCGCCACCGTGGCGCCCGTATACAATTAGAGACACACTTTTTATAGATATACACAAATACATACACACAATCATCATCAGGTATTATGAAATAGCGACATACCTGATGATTGTCTTGTGTTGCAATCGAAACGTCGTATGCATTTATTTAATTTATTATTTTCTCTTTATACGTGACTTTACCGAAAGAACCAAAGAATAATTCCTGCAGTCACGAAAGCTCCAAAATTAAGATATACACACAGTATACAAATGTACAAACACAAGTAAACACAAATACGGCACACAAGTGCACATGTTATCACAGGTGTCACAAATACGACACCCAGGTGTAATAACATACGCTCAGAGCTAAACTAATGTATTATTAAGGTTCTTATAGTTTGTGCGTGTTAGCAATTGGGTGAACGCGTGAGCAAGCTGATGGGTAGGTGATAATGTGAACAGGCAAATGTCTCGTGTGTGTGTGTGTGTGTCTTGCACAACGTAATGTACATTACAACCGTAATTCAGTGTAGTGTGTGCATAGTCACACATTCACATGGTACAGTATTATGTAGGTGAGGGGGGGGGTGATTAGCGCACTACGCTACAAACCCATTGGACCTACGTTCGGCTGGTGGCATCTGAACCTGTCCCTAACTCTCCCCCCACCTCCACTGACCAAAGTGGTGAAGTATGGCCATTCAACCCCCATAACCGACACGGCACTTGGAAGGTTTTCATTCGGCACTGGATCGACAAGAAGGACCCGTAAGTTACGAAATCAAGAGCTAAAATAATCGTATTCATTTACACGATTCCAGTATTGTGTTAACAACGATGTAACTCGTGTAAATTCCACGTTACTATGGTGGGGGGCAGTCCATCCAGAGTGTAACCATTATCTACAGTCCGCAAACCGGTACTTAATTTTATCCCACCCCGGCTTTAAACGTTGTTGTTAATCGTCAGTCGTGATCTAATCCACTGCTGGATTAAGGCCTCCACCACCACCACCACCACGAGCCTGCGACGTCAAGCGTTGTTGATCGTGAGACGGTGACGCTTGTGCGCCGTTGTACACTCGAATATCGTCATTTGGCGAGCGAGAGAAAGAAAGAGAAAGAAAGAGAGAGAGAATTGTTTTAAAGAAAATCTTTAAAAATATATATTTTTTTATTATAGCGCCTGAGGCCTATCGCAGGCTTTTCCTAGCGGCTGCGTCGACGGGGTTGAGGGGTGAAATGATTTACGTTCGGAAACGCGACCGCCAGTTCGTCTCGACGCACACGAAACGCGACGATGAGACGGCGAAAGTATTTTTAGTTTAATATTTTGCGTAAATATTAAAAAAAAAACCCTAAACGCGAAAGCCGAACGCACCAACTCACCTCCCTATAGTAACCGGGTGGGGGGGGGGGGTTCGTTAGGGCTCCAGTGCGCATGCGCACGTGGGTTTGGCTTCCGGAAGTTTCTACCGAAACATTTTATCGTTTTTTTTGTTGTTCGTTGTCTGCCGGAAGAGGTAGACAGGTTCGATTGGAATATTGACGGCTACATTTGAATCTTTCGTGACTGTTGATTCATACTCATAGGTTTTTTAGGTAAAGTCACATAGGTAAAAAATAAATAATGAGCGTATGTTATTATGTCGTGATTTATTATTTTATTTTTCTTCTTGGTTCTTTCGGTACGTAGTCACGTAGAAGGAAATAATAAAATAATAAAACATAATAAACTAATGATATTATTTTATTATGTTTTATTTTTGTTATTTTATTATTTTCCTTCTACGTGACTTTACCGAAAGAACCAAGAAGATGAATCCCTACAGTCACGAAAGCTTAAAATCGATATTTTTTGTTTTATTAATTTTAATTTCATTTTTTTACTTACGTGACTTTACCGAAAGAACTAAGAGTATTTTATTTCTAGTATAATTTAAAATATTTTTAATATTTACATATTTTATTTCTATCATTTTCACTATTTTTTATTATTAATTTAGTTTATTTCTATTATTATTTCATAATGAATAATTTTTATTTATTTTATTATTTCTATTTTTTTTTACCTACGTGACTTTACCGAAAAAACCGAAGAGTATTGACATCTACCTCTTCCGGAAGTTGCGACGAATCATCCCGTGATTGGTAGCAATCTTCCGGAAGAGGAGATATCTTCCAAAATATTATTTTAATCTCCCCGGAGTAATTCGTAATCTTCCGGAAGATGTAGGCTTTCAAGAAGATGATACAAATTATACCGAGCCAGTAGTAATCTCCCAGAGAAGCAGATTTTTCCGGTAAATAATACAAATTATTCCGAAGTAGCAATCTTCCAGAAGACATAGATATCTTCCGGAAGATGGTATAAGTTACGTTGACATCTACCACTTCTGGAAGATGTAGAATCAATCCCACGTGACTTTACTTTAACCAATCACGCGAGGCGCTCGCATGCCAATGCGATGCATGAATTCTATTTCTTGTTCGTTTCCAGATTGTAAACCGTAGTGCGTATACGTCGAACGCTTGCTTAGGCGCTAACAATAGAAACGAGTCAATCATTAAAACATTTTTTATTTTAATATTTGTTGACCGATTCTTGGTGACCTAATCTCCATTAAAAACATCGAACAAAGCCTCGCAAAACGCAAAACATTATTATTTTACGAAATCTATAACTTTTGTAAACCGGAAGTAGAGGGGGGGGTCAGGGGTCACCCACGTGTGGTTTTCCCGCGCGTTCAGTGACGTGAATCGATGCGGAGTGAATTTTAGTTTTCGTTTAAATCCATTTAACTTTCTTACCCCCCACCCCACTAACCTCGTAACTATTCCCACGACTGAAACGGACATCGCTGTCGCCATTCGCGGTGAGAGCGCTGCAGCGATGGGTTTGCTCGCAACTCTGACGCCTGCTGCTGTATATTTGGAGTTTGTGTGTGTCTCTCTCTCATCATCATCACGGTGGCTAGGAGATGTTAACTACCTCGCCTGGTGTGCAGGAGGTCGTGGGTTCGATCCCGACCCTGATGCCTGCTGCTGTGTATTTGGAGTTTGCGTGTCTCTCTCTCATCATCATCATGGTGGTGAGATGTTAACTACCTCGCCTGGTGTACAGGAGGTCGTGGGTTCGATCGCTACTCTGACGCCTACTGCTGCTGTATATTTGGAGTTTGCGTGTCTCTCTCTCTCATCACGGTGGCTAGGAGATGTTAACTACCTCGCCTGAGTACCCGGTGCGGTGTGTAGTAAACATCGCCACTGGGGAGACAAAGGCGGCCGGGCGTGGTGTTGGCCACCCACTCCCTAGTGTACCGTCCCGGCCTTCATAGGTGCTCGCTAACAGCACTTTCCCCAACATTCTTGTCAAGGCTATACGGGGGATCTTTGCATGTGCGTGTACCTGTGTGTTTGTATATAGCTGTGTGTGTACACGTGTGTGTGTACCTGTGTGTGTGTGTGTACCTGTGTGTGTGTACCTGCGTGTGTGTGTACCTGTGTGTGTGTGTGTACCTGCGTGTGTGTGTGTGTACCTGTGTGTGTGTACCTGTGTGTGTGTACCTGTGTGTGTGTACCTGTGTGTTTGTGTACCTGTGTGTGTGTGTACCTGTGTGTGTGTGTACCTGTGTGTGTGTATACCTGTGTGTGTGTATACCTGTGTGTGTGTATACCTGTCTGTGTGTGTATCTGTGTCGACTCAGCCTAAAATGAGTACCTGGTGCGGTGTGTAGTACACATCACCACCGGGGAGACAAAGGCGGCCGGGCGTGACGTCGGTCAACCACCCCCTCGTGTACCGTGCTGACCTTCGCAGGTGCTGCTCGCCAACAACACTTGCCTCATACTCTTAGTTCTTTCGGTAAAGTCACGTAGGTAAAAAATGAAATTAAAATTAATAAAAATAGAACAATAAAATCACGACGTTTCGGAGGCAACGCAAGTCTCCGTCATCAGGTGGGACCGTCACAGCCAGATTTGCTGCATCAAGTGAGGCAAGGATTCAAGATGCAAGCCCTTAAATTGCCCCGGCAGCCTGTTAACGCTACACGGGGGGGGTCTTTTGTCGCTGTGTGTACGCTCGCAGGATCCCAGCATGGCAGAGAGACCTGAGGACCTGAACTTGCCAAATGCGGTCATCACACGGATCATCAAGGACGCGGTGAGAAACACGCCGTCCACTTGGGCCTGTTTTATTGGCGGCGTTTGAACCCTGGGTCGCGATGTCGCCGTCGCATCGCACGGCGCTTTCAGGTGCACCAGAGGTCGCAACCGGGTACCCGATACCCGTACCCTACCCGATACCCGGCTACCCGTACCAGGCCGGGTACGGGGTACCCGTTTGCGTCCCTGGTGCGGCCGGGTACGGGTAGACCGTGAGTCACTGGTGAGTAACCGTTTGTCACTCATTTCGAGTAGGGTACGGGTAGGGAACGGGTAACCGTACCCGGCCCGGTACGGGTACGGGTACCCGTACCAACCCATGGTCCAACCCATGTGAGACTAGGCTCTAAGGAAAGCTGTCTCGGGTGTGGACCAATCAACTTCAAGGACAGTGCATACATTATCAGAGTTATGTTTTTTGTTTGCATTATGACTGCAGGTATTGTGGTCTATGCAAACATGACTCCTCGTAAAAAAGGTGTCAGTTTTGTTGCCAGATAAAAGGGTAAAAAAACAATTATCATGTAACTATTTCTTCACGTTCTGTGCAGATGCCACTGGTTCTTCATGTTCTGCAGATGTAGATGCCACTGGTTCTTCACGTTCTGCAGATGTAGATGCCACTGGTTCTTCACGTTCTGCAGATGTAGATGCCACTGGTTCTTCACGTTCTGCAGATGTAGATGCCACTGGTTCTTCATGTTCTGCAGATGTAGATGCCACTGGTTCTTCACGTTCTGCAGATGTAGATGCCACTGGTTCTTCATGTTCTGCAGATGTAGATGCCACTGGTTCTTCACGTTCTGCAGATGTAGATGCCACTGGTTCTTCATGTTCTGCAGATGTAGATGCCACTGGTTCTTCACGTTCTGCAGATGTGGATGCCACTTGTTCTTCACGTCCTGCAGATGTAGATGCCACTGATTCTTCACGTTCTGCAGATGTAGATGCCACTGGTTCTTCATGTTCTGCAGATGTAGATACCACTGGTTGTTCACGTTCTGCAGATGTAGATGCCACTGGTTCTTCACGTTCTGCAGATGTAGATGCCACTGGTTCTTCATGTCCTGCAGATGTAGATGCCACTGGTTCTTCACGTTCTGCAGATGTAGATACCACTGGTTCTTCACGTTCTGCAGATGTAGATGCCACTGGCTATTCGTTCTGCAGATGTAGATGCCACTGGTTCTTCACGTTCTGCAGATGTAGATGCCAGTGGTTCTTCACGTTCTGCAGATGTAGATGCCACTGGTTATTCACGTTCTGCAGATGTAGATGCCACTGGTTATTCACGTTCTGCAGATGTAGATGCCACTGGTTCTTCACGTTCTGCAGATGTAGATGCCACTGGTTCTTCACGTTCTGCAGATGTAGATGCCACTGGTTCTTCATGTTCTGCAGATGTGGATGCCAATGGTTCTTCACGTTTGGTTCTTCACGTTCTGCAGATGTAGATGCCACTGGTTCTTCACGTTCTGCAAATGTAGATACCACTGGTTCACGTTCTGCAGATGTAGATGCCACTGGTCCTTCACTTTCTGTAGATGTAGATGCCACTGGTTCTTCACGTCCTGCAGATGTAGATGTCACTGGTTCTTCACGTTCTGCAGATGTAGATGCCACTGGTTCTTCACGTCCTGTAGATGTAGATGCCACTGGTTCTTAACGTTCTGCAGATGTAGATGCCACTGGTTCTTAACGTTCTGCAGATGTAGATGCCACTGGTTCTTCACGTTCTGCAGATGTAGATGCCACTGGTTCTTAACGTTCTGTAGATGTAGATGCCACTGGTTCTTCACGTTCTGCAGATGTAGATGCCACTGGTCCTTCACTTTCTGTAGATGTAGATGCCACTGGTTCTTCACGTTCTGCAGATGTAGATGCCACTGGTTCTTCACGTTCTGCAGATGTAGATGTCACTGGTTCTTCACGTTCTGCAGATGTAGATGCCACTGGTCCTTCACTTTCTGTAGATGTAGATGCCACTGGTTCTTCACGTTCTGCAGATGTAGATGCCACTGGTTCTTCACGTTCTGCAGATGTAGATGCCACTGGTTCTTCACGTTCTGCAGATGTAGATGCCACCACCGCCATCCATTGCACGGCGATTTAACTTACGACTCTGGGTCAGATCGAGCTACTGGACATACGGACAGCTTTGTTCGTGTCTCTGAAAGTTCGTAAGTCGAGTGTCCATAAGTCGAGGAGTCATTGTATATAACTACTTGGTGATGTCACCACCACGTAGTGACGAGTGCCAGCTACTGCTGCTGTTGTTGTTATTGGGCCCTGGGTGTGCACAGCTGCCCGAGGGCGTGAACGTGTCCAAGGAGGCGCGCAGCGCCATCTCCCGCGCCGCCAGCGTCTTCGTGCTCTACGCCACGTCCTGGTGCACCGCCGCTCAGCACTCACTCGCTCGCCGCTCGCTCACAAACCGCTCGCTCGCAAACCGCTCGCTCACAAACCGCTCGCAAACCGCGCCCTCACAAACCGCTCGCTCACAAACCGCTCGCTCACAAACCGCTCGCTCGCCACTCGCTCACAACTCACAAACCGCTCGCTCGACACTCGCTCACAAACCGCTCGCTCACAAACCGCTCGCTCGCTCACAACTCACAAACCAGCTCGCTCGACACTCGCTCACAAACCGCTCGCTCACAAACCGCTCGCTCGCCACTCGCTCACAACTCACAAACCGCTCGCTCGACACTCGCTCACAAACCGCTCACTCACAAACCGCTCGCTCGCCACTCGCTCACAACTCACAAACCAGCTCGCTCGACACTCGCTCACAAACCGCTCGCTCACAAACCGCTCGCTCGCCACTCGCTCACAACTCACAAACCGCTCGCTCGACACTCGCTCACAAACCGCTCGCTCACAAACTGCTCGCTCGCCACTCGCTCACAACTCACAAACCGCTCGCTCACAAACCGCTCGCTCACCACTTGCTCTCAAATCGTTCGCCACTCGCTCACCATTCATTCTCGAACCGCTCGCTCACCACTCACAAACCACTCACTCAGCACTCGCTCACAAACCACTCACTCAGCACTCGCTCACAAACCACTCACTCAGCACTCGCTCACCACTTGCTCGCCACTCACAAACAAACCGCTCGCTCACCACCTTGCACGCCATTTGCTCTCAAACCGCTCGCTCGCCACTCACTCACAAACCCCTCACTCCCCACTTGCTCCCCACTCCCTCTCAAACCGCTCGCTCACCACTCACAAACTGCTCGCTCACCACCTTGCACGCCACTCGCTCTCAAACCGCTCGCTCGCCATTTGCTCTCAAACCGCTCGCTCACTTGTGTTGCGATCGAATCGTCGTGATTTGTTTTATTTTATTCCTACCTACGTGACTTTACCAAAGAGTATGGATTCCTGCAGTCACGAAAGCTTCGAATCAAGATTAATATTCATCTTCTTGGTTCTTTCGGTAAAGTCACGTAGAAGGGAAATAATAAAATAAAAAAAAGTTAATTCTTTTTATTATTTTAAAAAAAAAATTTTATTATTTATAAAATTATTTTTTATTATTTCTCTTCTACGCGACTTTACCGAAAGAACCAAGAAGATGAATCCCTGCAGTCACGAAAGCTTTAAATCGAAATTCAAGATTAATATCGTATCTCCCCTCCGACCTCTCACTCTCTCACTCTCGGCAACAGTGCCAACAACTTTGCTGTGAAGAGTAAGCGGAAAACGCTGAGCGGCAACGATGTTCTCTCCGCCGTGGAGGAGATGGAGTTTCAACAGCTCCTCGGGCCGCTCCGTGAGAGCCTGGACGGTGAGGATCGGAGCGATGGCACGCAACGCGATTTCACACGATTGGTTTTACAACGCAATTGATTTTTAACGTAACAGCGATCGGTTTTTAAAATCTGTAATTGTGGAATGCTTTTGAAGTCTTGTGAAGTGTAACCTGTTTACGTACGCGTGTCTCTGTGTGTCGAACTTTCGCGCGTACGTAGACAACTGCGGTGGCGAGATGTTAACAGGTCGTGGGTTCGATCGCGACCCTGACGCCTGCTGCTGCTATATATTTGGAGTTTGTGTCTCTCATCATCACGGTGGCTAGATGTTAACTACCTCGCCTGGTGTACAGGAGGTCGTGGGTTCGATCCCAATCCTGATGCCTGCTGTATTTTTGGAGTTTGCGTGTCTCTCTCTCTCATCATCATCACGGTGGCTAGGAGATGTTAACTACCTCGCCTGGTGTACAGGAGGTCGTGGGTTCCATCCCGACCCTGACGCCTGCCGCTGTATATTTGGAGTTTGCGTGTCTCTCTCTCATCATCATCACGGTGGCTAGGAGATGTTAACTACCTCGCCTGGTGTACAGGAGGTCGTAGGTTCCATCCCGACCCGGACGCCTGCTGCTGTATATTTGGAGTTTGCGTCTCTCATCATCATCACGGTGGCTAGGAGAGTTTTTGTTTGGCTCGTGTACATTTCCAAACGATAAGCCGCGTGGTTGAGCGATCATTTGTGGCCAAGTCACTTCTGAAAGAGCTGCGAAGATCGATGGGTCTTGCCTGCTAAAACAAAGTTTAGTTTTTCGTTTTAACCGCGCTAATCGGAGCGTGCGGGGGTAAGAACGGCAAACTAAACACAAAAAGCAGGGACCCCGTGGGCTTAGCGGAAGGCCACACTTTCCCACCTGATGACGGATGCTTGTGTTGTGCCCGAAACGTCGTGATTTAAATTTCGATTTAAAGCTTTCGTGGCTGCAGTCGGAAAGACAGCGGTCTGAATTCAAAATTCAGACGCTGTCTTTCCGACAGACCTGTTCTTTCGGAATTCAGACGCTGTCTTTCCGACAGACCTGTTCTTTCAGAATTCAGACGCTGTCTTTCCGACAGACCTGTTCTTTCAGAATTCAGACGCTGTCTTTCCGACAGACCTGTTCTTTCAGAATTCAGACGCTGTCTTTCCAACAGACCTGTTCTTTCGGAATTCAGACGCTGTCTTTCCGACAGACCTGTTCTTTCAGAATTCAGACGCTGTCTTTCCGACAGACCTGTTCTTTCAGAATTCAGACGCTGTCTTTCCAACAGACCTGTTCTTTCAGAATTCAGACGCTGTCTTTCCAACAGACCTGTTCTTTCAGAATTCAGACGCTGTCTTTCCAACAGACCTGTTCTTTCAGAATTCAGACGCTGTCTTTCCAACAGACCTGTTCTTTCAGAATTCAGACGCTGTCTTTCCAACAGACCTGTTCTTTCAGAATTCAGACGCTGTCTTTCCAACAGACCTGTTCTTTCAGAATTCAGACGCTGTCTTTCCAACAGACCTGTTCTTTCAGAATTCAGACGCTGTCTTTCCAACAGACCTGTTCTTTCAGAATTCAGACGCTGTCTTTCCAACAGACCTGTTCTTTCAGAATTCAGACGCTGTCTTTCCAACAGACCTGTTCTTTCAGAATTCAGACGCTGTCTTTCCGACAGACCTGTTCTTTCAGAATTCAGACGATGTCTTTCCAACAGACCTGTTCTTTCAGAATTCAGACGCTGTCTTTCCAACAGACCTGTTCTTTCAGAATTCAGACGCTGTCTTTCCAACAGACCTGTTCTTTCAGAATTCAGACGCTGTCTTTCCGACAGACCTGTTCTTTCAGAATTCAGACGCTGTCTTTCCAACAGACCTGTTCTTTCAGAATTCAGACGCTGTCTTTCCAACAGACCTGTTCTTTCAGAATTCAGACGCTGTCTTTCCAACAGACCTGTTCTTTCAGAATTCAGACGATGTCTTTCCGACAGACCTGTTCTTTCAGAATTCAGACGATGTCTTTCCGACAGACCTGTTCTTTCAGAATTCAGACGCTGTCTTTCCGACAGACCTGTTCTTTCAGAATTCAGACGGTGTCTTTCCGACAGACCTGTTCTTTCAGAATTCAGACGCTGTCTTTCCAACAGACCTGTTCTTTCAGAATTCAGATGCTGTCTTTCCAACAGACCTGTTCTTTCAGAATTCAGACGCTGTCTTTCCAACAGACCTGTTCTTTCAGAATTCAGACGCTGTCTTTCCGACAGACCTGTTCTTTCAGAATTCAGACGCTGTCTTTCCAACAGACCTGTTCTTTCAGAATTCAGACGCTGTCTTTCCAACAGACCTGTTCTTTCAGAATTCAGACGCTGTCTTTCCAACAGACCTGTTCTTTCAGAATTCAGACGCTGTCTTTCCAACAGACCTGTTCTTTCAGAATTCAGACGCTGTCTTTCCAACAGACCTGTTCTTTCAGAATTCAGACGATGTCTTTCCGACAGACCTGTTCTTTCAGAATTCAGACGATGTCTTTCCGACAGACCTGTTCTTTCAGAATTCAGACGCTGTCTTTCCAACAGACCTGTTCTTTCAGAATTCAGACGCTGTCTTTCCAACAGACCTGTTCTTTCAGAATTCAGACGCTGTCTTTCCAACAGACCTGTTCTTTCAGAATTCAGACGCTGTCTTTCCAACAGACCTGTTCTTTCAGAATTCAGACGCTCTCTTTCCGACAGACCTGTTCTTTCAGAATTCAGACGCTGTCTTTCCAACAGACCTGTTCTTTCAGAATTCAGACGCTGTCTTTCCAACAGACCTGTTCTTTCAGAATTCAGACGCTGTCTTTCCAACAGACCTGTTCTTTCAGAATTCAGACGCTGTCTTTCCAACAGACCTGTTCTTTCAGAATTCAGACGCTGTCTTTCCAACAGACCTGTTCTTTCAGAATTCAGACGCTGTCTTTCCAACAGACCTGTTCTTTCAGAATTCAGACGCTGTCTTTCCAACAGACCTGTTCTTTCAGAATTCAGACGCTGTCTTTCCGACAGACCTGTTCTTTCAGAATTCAGACGCTGTCTTTCCGACAGACCTGTTCTTTCAGAATTCAGACGCTGTCTTTCCGACAGACCTGTTCTTTCAGAATTCAGACGCTGTCTTTCCAACAGACCTGTTCTTTCAGAATTCAGACGCTGTCTTTCCAACAGACCTGTTCTTTCAGAATTCAGACGGTGTCTTTCCGACAGACCTGTTCTTTCAGAATTCAGACGCTGTCTTTCCGACAGACCTGTTCTTTCAGAATTCAGACGCTGTCTTTCCAACAGACCTGTTCTTTCAGAATTCAGACGCTGTCTTTCCAACAGACCTGTTCTTTCAGAATTCAGACGCTGTCTTTCCAACAGACCTGTTCTTTCAGAATTCAGACGCTGTCTTTCCGACAGACCTGTTCTTTCAGAATTCAGACGCTGTCTTTCCGACAGACCTGTTCTTTCAGAATTCAGACGCTGTCTTTCCGACAGACCTGTTCTTTCAGAATTCAGACGCTGTCTTTCCAACAGACCTGTTCTTTCAGAATTCAGACGCTGTCTTTCCAACAGACCTGTTCTTTCAGAATTCAGACGGTGTCTTTCCGACAGACCTGTTCTTTCAGAATTCAGACGCTGTCTTTCCGACAGACCTGTTCTTTCAGAATTCAGACGCTGTCTTTCCAACAGACCTGTTCTTCAGAATTCAGACGCTGTCTTTCCAACAGACCTGTTCTTTCAGAATTCAGACGCTGTCTTTCCAACAGACCTGTTCTTTCAGAATTCAGACGCTGTCTTTCCAACAGACCTGTTCTTTCAGAATTCAGACGCTGTCTTTCCAACAGACCTGTTCTTTCAGAATTCAGACGCTGTCTTTCCAACAGACCTGTTCTTTCAGAATTCAGACGCTGTCTTTCCAACAGACCTGTTCTTTCAGAATTCAGACGCTGTCTTTCCAACAGACCTGTTCTTTCAGAATTCAGACGGTGTCTTTCCGACAGACCTGTTCTTTCAGAATTCAGACGCTGTCTTTCCGACAGACCTGTTCTTTCAGAATTCAGACGCTGTCTTTCCAACAGACCTGTTCTTTCAGAATTCAGACGCTGTCTTTCCGACAGACCTGTTCTTTCAGAATTCAGACGCTGTCTTTCCGACAGACCTGTTCTTTCAGAATTCAGACGCTGTCTTTCCGACAGACCTGTTCTTTCAGAATTCAGACGCTGTCTTTCCAACAGACCTGTTCTTTCAGAATTCAGACGCTGTCTTTCCAACAGACCTGTTCTTTCAGAATTCAGACGCTGTCTTTCCAACAGACCTGTTCTTTCAAAATTCAGACGCTGTCTTTCCAACAGACCTGTTCTTTCAGAATTCAGACGCTGTCTTTCCAACAGACCTGTTCTTTCAGAATTCAGACGGTGTCTTTCCGACAGACCTGTTCTTTCAGAATTCAGACGCTGTCTTTCCGACAGACCTGTTCTTTCAGAATTCAGACGCTGTCTTTCCAACAGACCTGTTCTTTCAGAATTCAGACGCTGTCTTTCCAACAGACCTGTTCTTTCAGAATTCAGACGCTGTCTTTCCAACAGACCTGTTCTTTCAGAATTCAGACGCTGTCTTTCCAACAGACCTGTTCTTTCAGAATTCAGACGCTGTCTTTCCAACAGACCTGTTCTTTCAGAATTCAGACGCTGTCTTTCCAACAGACCTGTTCTTTCAGAATTCAGACGCTGTCTTTCCGACAGACCTGTTCTTTCAGAATTCAGACGATGTCTTTCCGACAGACCTGTTCTTTCAGAATTCAGACGCTGTCTTTCCGACAGACCTGTTCTTTCAGAATTCAGACGCTGTCTTTCCAACAGACCTGTTCTTTCAGAATTCAGACGCTGTCTTTCCAACAGACCTGTTCTTTCAGAATTCAGACGCTGTCTTTCCAACAGACCTGTTCTTTCAGAATTCAGACGCTGTCTTTCCAACAGACCTGTTCTTTCAGAATTCAGACGCTGTCTTTCCAACAGACCTGTTCTTTCAGAATTCAGACGCTGTCTTTCCAACAGACCTGTTCTTTCAGAATTCAGACGCTGTCTTTCCAACAGACCTGTTCTTTCAGAATTCAGACGGTGTCTTTCCGACAGACCTGTTCTTTCAGAATTCAGACGCTGTCTTTCCGACAGACCTGTTCTTTCAGAATTCAGACGCTGTCTTTCCAACAGACCTGTTCTTTCAGAATTCAGACGCTGTCTTTCCGACAGACCTGTTCTTTCAGAATTCAGACGCTGTCTTTCCAACAGACCTGTTCTTTCAGAATTCAGACGCTGTCTTTCCAACAGACCTGTTCTTTCAGAATTCAGACGCTGTCTTTCCAACAGACCTGTTCTTTCAGAATTCAGACGCTGTCTTTCCAACAGACCTGTTCTTTCAGAATTCAGACGCTGTCTTTCCAACAGACCTGTTCTTTCAGAATTCAGACGCTGTCTTTCCAACAGACCTGTTCTTTCAGAATTCAGACGCTGTCTTTCCAACAGACCTGTTCTTTCAGAATTCAGACGCTGTCTTTCCAACAGACCTGTTCTTTCAGAATTCAGACGGTGTCTTTCCGACAGACCTGTTCTTTCAGAATTCAGACGCTGTCTTTCCGACAGACCTGTTCTTTCAGAATTCAGACGCTGTCTTTCCAACAGACCTGTTCTTTCAGAATTCAGACGCTGTCTTTCCAACAGACCTGTTCTTTCAGAATTCAGACGCTGTCTTTCCGACAGACCTGTTCTTTCAGAATTCAGACGCTGTCTTTCCGACAGACCTGTTCTTTCAGAATTCAGACGCTGTCTTTCCAACAGACCTGTTCTTTCAGAATTCAGACGCTGTCTTTCCAACAGACCTGTTCTTTCAGAATTCAGACGCTGTCTTTCCGACAGACCTGTTCTTTCAGAATTCAGACGCTGTCTTTCCAACAGACCTGTTCTTTCAGAATTCAGACGCTGTCTTTCCGACAGACCTGTTCTTTCAGACGCTGTATTTCCGACAGACCTGTTCTTCACCCGAGGACGGCTGCTTGCGTTGTTGGCCAAAACGTCGTGAGAATTGTATGTTTAATTTTTATTATTTCCCTTCTACGTGACTTTACCGAAAGAACCAAGAAGACGTCGCGATTTAATTTAGTTGTTTTATTTTTCACCTACGTGAACTTGCGTCCCCCGACTCTCGTTTTTGTTCTCGCCGCGGGCCTTCACCCCGTCCTTCTGCTCTGTCGCTCTCTCCGTCACAACGGGCAGCGTACAGACGCGACCTCAAGGGGCGCAAGGAGGCCTCGGAGCAGCGCAGGAAGGACAAGGAGACGCCGCGGAGAGAAGCCGGCGACGAGGGGGACACGGGACCCGCCGATGACTCTGTCGGGGACGAGGGAGCTGCTGATGAGGGAGCAGCTGATGAGGCCGCAGTGGATGAGGGAGACTGAGCAGACCCCCCCCCCCCCCCCGAATGTTGGAGGGGGGTGGGTGGGGTGAGAGGGAATCGTGTTCACCCACTCGTGGATTTAACTTAAAATGGAAGTCGTTTTGTTTTCGGTAATAAATGTGCTTTTTTTAACAAGAGTTGAACCCTCTTCGTTTTGTTTTGATTGTTTTATTGTTTCCATTCTACGTGACTTTACCGAAGGAACCAAGAAGATGAATCCCTGCAGTCACGAAAGCTTTAAATCGAAAAATAAAGCTTGGTGGTGTTCATTCAGACGCTGTCTTTCCGACAGACCTGTTCTTCACCTGAGGACTGGTGCTTGCGTTGTGGCCAAAACGTCGTGAGAATAGTATTTTAAGGTTTTATTTTTATTATTTTATTATTTCCCTTCTACGTGACTTTACCGAAAGAACCAAGAAGATGAATCCCTGCAGTCACGAAAGCTTTAAATCGAAATTTAAGAGTTTAACCCCCTTAATGCCACCTTATTTGGCAGTGCGTATGGAATGATTTCTTGTGGATGTCCCTCTTGGGTTCGAGATTTGAAGCTTTCTCGGGACTACAAGGATTCATGCTCTTTGGTTTTTTCGGTAAAGTCACGTGGGTAAAAAATAAAATAACTGAACTAAATTAAATCACGTTTTGGGCATCAGCAGCAGGCCACGCTTTCCCGCCTGGTGACGGATACTTGTGTTGCACCCGAAACGTCGCGATTTAATTTAGTTTTCATTTTATTTATCACCTACGTGACTTTACCGAAAAAAACAAAGATGTCCACTTGGGGGTTCCCTCCTTTGGTTCGTCTCGGCCACTGCGCATCAGCCCCTCTGTTTTGATGACGGCATCATTGTGCACTTTTCGCTGCGATCTGCGTTCAGCAATCCATGCCCTGCACTCACCCACCCCCCTCCATGCTTGTCATTGAGAAGTGGTGGCAATGTGGGGATGCCAAAATCCAGCAGTGGATGAACGATTGGCTTGGACATGATAAACAGATGGTTACACGAAGACCCATGGATTATTCAGATGTCGATTTAAAGCTTTCGCGACTGCAGGGATTCATATTCTTGGTTCTTTCGGTAAAGTCACGTAGAAGGGAAATAATCAAATACAAATAAAACAATAAAATTATCACGTTTCGGCCACAACGCAAGCAGCCGTCCTCGGGTGAAAAAACTGCTGTTGGAAAGACGGCGTCCTAATGAACACCAAGCTTGGCAGCGTATTTTAAGCTGGGTGGATGTCAACTCCTTTGTCAAGGTGCTCTCCTCCCACCCAGCTTAAAATACGCTGCCAAGCTGAGCAGTGTTCATTAAGACGCAGTCTTTCCAACAGACCTGTTCTTCACCTGAGGACGGCTGCTTGCGTTGTGGCCGAAACGTCGTGAGAATTATATTTGTATTATTTCCTTTCTACGTAACTTTACCAAAAGAAACAAGAATATTCAGATGCCGTTTTTTAGAGCTGCAGTGTTTAGTTTGTTACCCTTCCACCACACCTCCGATTAGAGCGGTTGGTTACGTATGGTGCAAAAGAAGTTTAAACATATGGTGGATTTATTGTTTAAATGTGACCGAATCTACTCGGCAGAGGGGAAACAAAGTTGAGCCTGGACTTGATAGAGCCCAAACATGTGGAAGATCGATAAGACTTGCATCTACATCTTACAATGTGGATTTACATACTATCTAAATTGTGACCTTATCTCAAGACTGTACAGAAACAGTGGGCGTATATCGTGTATCGGAAAAGTCACTGAGTTCCTGTGCCAGTCCGGGTCTCTTGTTGTGTTTATGGGAGGATTTGGGTCTGTTAGAGGGAGTCATCAATAGGCAGAGAAGAGGCATTGAGTCGACAGCACAGGTGGCTTGTGGGAAGAAAATTTGCATCCTCCGATTAGCACCGTTGGCTAATCGGGAGGTACATTACATACTGCCCATAGACTCAACACTGCCCATAGACTCAACACTGCCCATAGACTCAACACTGCCCATAGACTCAACACTGCCCATAGACTCAACACTGCCCATAGACTCAACACTGCCCATAGACTCAACACTGCCCATAGACTCAACACTGCCCATAGACTCAACACTGCCCATAGACTCAACACTGCCCATAGACTAACACTACCCATAGACTCAACACTGCCCATAGACTCAACACGACCCATAGACTCAACACTGCCCATAGACTCAACACTGCCCATAGACTCAACACTGCCCATAGAATCAACACTGCCCATAGACTCAACACTGCCCATAGACTCAACACTGCCCATAGACTCAACACTGCCCATAGACTCAACACTGCCCATAGACTCAACACTGCCCATAGACTCAACACTGCCCATAGACTCAACACTGCCCATAGACTCAACACTGCCCATAGACTCAACACTGCCCATAGACTCAACACTGCCCATAGACTCAACACTGCCCATAGACTCAACACTGCCCATAGACTCACACTGCCCATATACTCACACTGCCCATAGACTCACACTGCCCATAGACTAACACTGCCCATAGACTCAACACTGCCCATAGACTCAACACTGCCCATAGACTCAACACTGCCCATAGACTCAACACTGCCCATAGACTCAACACTGCCCATAGACTCAACACTGCCCATAGACTCACACTGCCCACAGACTCAACACTGCCCATAGACTCACCCCTCCCCATGGCCCCACCCCGGCCCATAGACTCAACACTGCCCATAGACTAACACTGCCCATAGACTCAACACTGCACCATAGACTCAACACTGCCATAGACTCAACACTGCCATAGACTCCACACTGCCCATGACTCAACACTGCCCATAGACTCAACACTGCCCATTAGACTACACTGCCCCTAGACTCAACACTGGCCCATAGACTCAACACTGCCCATAGACTCAACACTGCCCATAGACTCAACACTGCCCATAGCTCAACACTACCCATAGACTCAACCACTAGCCCATAGACTCAACACTTACCCATAGACTCAACACTGCCCATAGACTCAACACTGCCCATAGACTCAACACTGCCCATAGACCAACACTGCCCATAGACTCAACACTGCCCATAGACTCAACACTGCCCATAGACTCAACACTGCCCATAGACTCAACACTGCCCATAGACTCAACACTGCCCATAGACTCAACACGGCCCATAGACTCAACACTGCCCAATAGACATCAACACTGCCCATAGACCTCAACACTGCCCATAGACTCAACACTGCCCATAGACTCAACACTGCCCATAGACTCAACACTGCCCATAGACTCAACACTGCCCATAGACTCAACACTGCCCATAGACTCAACACTGCCCATAGACTCAACACTGCCCATAGACTCAACACTACCCATAGACTCAACACTGCCCATAGACTCAACACTACCCATAGACTCACACTGCCCATAGACTCAACACTACCCATAGACTCAACACTGCCCATAGACTCAACACTGCCCATAGACTCAACACTGCCCATAGACTCAACACTGCCCATAGACTCAACACTGCCCATAGACTCAACACTGCCCATAGACTCAACACTGCCCATAGACTCAACACTGCCCATAGACTCAACACTGCCCATAGACTCAACACTGTCCATAGACTCAACACTACCCATAGACTCAACACTGCCCATAGACTCAACACTGCCCATAGACTCAACACTGCCCATAGACTCAACACTGCCCATAGACTCAACACTGCCCATAGACTCAACACTGCCCATAGACTCAACACTGCCCATAGACTCAACACTGTCCATAGACTCAACACTGTCCAAAAAAAAACTCAAAATCATTTTAATGGTACTTTTTTTTTAAAAACCACATCGACAAAAAGAACCTTGGATTTTTTTTAGTTTTTATTTAAATTCGATGCTTCGTTTCCCACAATCACTTCGGAGCTGGTGTTCTTTTAATCCTGCAACACAACACGCACAACACCCGTGTTAACACAACCTCCGCACACTCCACACAGATTGACAATCGCCGTGGGGGTGACGACCGTGTGGGAGCCCAGCAGCGGCAGCGCCGTCGTCAAAAGCTTCACGGTTCTAACCCAGCAGCCGCCCTGATTAACACTGCCGGCGTGCGACAGCCATAATCGCACACACGACGATGCCCTGTTTCACGGCGGACGTTTAAAGATCTGACCCCCACCCCCGTCCGATGTATTTTTGAGAGGTCATGCATCAGTGTCAGGGTCCAAATTTGCCACATTGGAAAATAACCTGCGAATCACTCGGTTGGGATACAGATCGCCAAACGTAATCAAAGTTGTGGCGGTATCTGCACACGTGTGTGTGTGTACCTGTGTGTATCCGTGTAGCATGCAGTACTCTACGTATCTCCATGTGCCATTTCTCACGGAGCGGACCTCCGTCTCTTGGGTGTCTGGGTGTTTCCCTTCTGAGTCAATCCGAGTGGAGAGTGCGTCTCTCTGCATCTACACGAGTTCTGCATCTCTGCGTGCAGCGTCTCTCTCTGGGCAAGAAGCTCATGGAGGGGATCTGCATTTGGGTGTTTCCCTTCTCTGTGTGGGCTTCTGAAAAAGTGCTTATAGCTCAATGGGCCTTACTTGTAAAATAAAGACATTGTTTAGATTTGAGTGTATGTGCGTGTACCTCTAGTAGTAGTGTCCACTGCATATCTCGGAGTTCTGCATCTCTCGGTGTACTGTCTGGACAAGAACTCACCAGGGGGATTTTCAACATTGAGGTGTTTCCCTTCTGAGTATCTGTGTATCTCCTGAGTCCTGTATCTCTCTGTGCGTCATGTATCTGTGTATCACCTGATTCCTGTATCTCTCCGTGCGCCATGTGTCTGTGTATCTCTTTAGTCCTGTACCTCTCCGTGCGTCACGTGTCTGCGGGGGCGACAAACTCACCGAGGGGATCTCGGTCTCCCCGTTGTTGATCTCGTCGATGACGTCGTGAGGGTGTTTCCCGTCCACGGTGCAGCCCACCGACTGGGCCGTGCCCAGGATCTCCTTCACCGTGCCTAACACAAACATCCCCCCCGCCAGCGTTAACTTTAGCAGACTGTTGGGGCAAAGGCTGTACGTATTAAATTTCGATTTAAAGCTTTCGTGACTGCAGGGATTCATCTTCTTGGTTCTTTCTGTAAAGTCACGTAGAAGGGAAATAATAAAATAATGAAAATATAACATTATAAAATACAATTCTCACGACGTTTCGGCCACAACGCAAGCAGCCGTCCTCAGGTGAAGAACAGGTCTGTCGGAAAGACCTGTTCTTCACCTTCTGTCGGAAAGACCTGTTCTTCACCTGAGGACGGCTGCTTGCGTTGTGGCCGAAACGTCGTGAGAATTGTATTTTATTATGTTATATTTTCATTATTTTATTATTTCCCTTCTACGTGACTTTACAGAAAGAACCAAGAAGACGAGCTGTATGTATGTTGAACTTCTTTCGCACCGTACGTAGCCAACCGAGCTCATCGGAGGTGCAGGGGAAGGTCAACAAGGCGTTGGCCCGTGAACGGGAATGGAATTCGAGTCGCCGGGTTCAAAGCGCGGCACCATAACCGCGACACGACTGCTCCCCCAGCCTTGACAGACTGTAGGGGCAAGTGCTGTTATCGAGCACCTATAAAGGCCGGAACGGCACACGAGGGAGTGGGGGGCGGCCAGCGCCGTGCCCTTCGTCTCTCCCGAGTGGCGGCGATGTTTACACACCACAGCAGCAGCTACTCGCCAACCTGCAGACCCCAGTCCGGGTATCGAACTGGGTTCTGTAGGTTCGTAGTGCAGCTTGCTAACCGCTACTGTCCAGCGGTCCCCAACCTTGTGGCACCAGGGACCGGTTTTGTGGGAGACAATTTTTTCACGGACCGGGGAGGAGGGTTTCATCATTGGGTCTTTCCCCCTTCGATGTAAAGCTTTCGTGACTGCAGGGATTCATCTTCTTGGTTCTTTCGGTAAAGTCACGTAGAATGGAAATAATAAAATAAAAAAAGACAACATAATAAATGTTTCTTTTATTTTATTATTTCCATTCTACGTGACTTTACCGAAAGAACCAAAAAGATCTTTCCCCCTTTTCAAAGAAGCTCTCCAGCGACGTTTGTTTTGTACTTATGTTGGCTAGGGGTTAGCAGCTTGTGGACTCGCCAAAACTGTGACAAGTGCACAGTGCGGGGAAGAGGCGTGGATGGAAGTGGTCAATAAAATAATGGGGGCGGGTTCCACGCGCGGACTCACCGCCAGACGTCGCAAACGGGTTTCGATTCCTTACCGTACCCGGCCGCACCAGGGTTGCAAACGGGTACCCTACCCGATACCCGGCTACCCCTACCCGGCCGGGTAGGGTACGGGTATCGGGTACCCGATTGCGACCTCTGGGATGAAGCCATGTTGCAGGCGCGGGTGGGTTGATTCTAGCAACTTGAATTGTGAGAAGAGACAAGACGTTGGGAAATGAGTGACAAACGGTGACTCACCAGTGAGTCACGGCCTACCCGTACCCGGCCGCACCAGGGTCGCAAACGCCTACCTGTACCCGGCCGGGTACGGGTAGCCGGGTATCAGGTAGGGTACGGGTATCGGGTACCCGGTTGCGACCTCTGCTCACCGCTCTCACCTCCTGCTGCTGTGCAGCCCGGTTGCTAACAGGCCACGGACCGGTACCGGCCTGGGGGTTGGGGACCCCTACGCTACGAGACCCCTCTCCCACGCACGCGCGTCACTCACCCTTGAGTTCACGAGCCAGGGATCTGGGTCTCATCTGGCGGGCGATGTTGATGATCTCATCCAGACCCAGGTTTCCCGTGTGCTTGACTGCGGACGGCATAGGTAACGCACAGAGACAAGATGGGTTACATACGGAGACGAGACATGTTACACGGAGAGCAGACATGTTACAGAGACAAGATGGGTTACATACGGAGACGAGTCATGTTACACGGAGAGCAGACGGGTTACACGGAGATCAGACATGTTACAGAGACAAGATGGGTTACAGAGATCAGACACATACTCTTAGTTCTTTCGGTAAAGTCACGTAGGTAAAAAATGAAATTAAAATTAATAAAAAATAAAAAGAATAAAATCACGACGTTTCGGAGGCAACACAAGCTTCCGTCTTCAGGTGAAACTGTCACAGCAAAAAAAAACACTTGATACAGATTTTTTGGACATAACGTGGGGGGGGGGGGGGGTAGGATGGGAGAGACCAAGTGGACATAACGTGGGGGGGGGTAGGATGGGAGAGACCAAGTGGACATAACGTGGGGGGGGGGGGTAGGATGGGAGAGACCAAGTGGACATAACGTGGGGGGGGGTAGGATGGGAGAGACCAAGTGGACATAACGTGAGGGGGGGTAGGATGGGAGAGGCCAAGTGGACATAACGTGGGGGGGTAGGATGGGAGAGGACCAAGTGGACATAACGTGAGGGGGGGGGGGGGGGGTAGGATGGGAGAGACCAAGTGGACATAACGTGGGGGGGGGGGTAGGATAGGAGAGACCAAATGGACATAACGTGGGGGGGGGGGGGGGGTAGGATGGGAGAGGCCAAGTGGACATAACGTGAGGGGGGGGGGGGGGGGTAGGATGGGAGAGGCCAAGTGGACATAACGTGAGGGGGGGGGGGGGGGGGGTAGGATGGGAGAGGCCAAGTGGACATAACGTGGGGGGGGGGTAGGATGGGAGAGGCCAAGTGGACATAACGTGGGGGGGGGGGGGGGGGGGGTAGGATGGGAGAGGCCAAGTGGACCTAACGTGAGGGGGGGGGGGGGGGGGGGGTAGGATGGGAGAGGCCAAGTGGACCTAACGTGAGGGGGGGGGGGGGGGGGGTAGGATGGGAGAGGCCAAGTGGACCTACGTGAGGGGGGGGGGGGGGGAGGTAGGATGGGAGAGGCCAAGTGGACATGACGTGAGGGGGGGGGGGGGGGTAGGATGGGAGAGGCCAAGTGGACCTAACGTGAGGGGGGGGGGGGGGGGGTTAGGATGGGAGAGGCCAAGTGGACATAACGTGGGGGGGGGGGGGGGGGGGGTAGGATGGGAGAGGCCAAGTGGACCTAACGTGAGGGGGGGGGGGGGGGGGTAGGATGGGAGAGGCCAAGTGGACCTAACGTGAGGGGGGGGGGGGGGGGGTAGGATGGGAGAGGCCAAGTGGACCTAACGTGAGGGGGGGGGGGGGGGGAGGTAGGATGGGAGAGGCCAAGTGGACATGACGTGAGGGGGGGGGGGGGGGGGGTAGGATGGGAGAGGCCAAGTGGACCTAACGTGAGGGGGGGGGGGGGGTAGGATGGGAATGTCCAAGTGGACATAACGTGAGGGGGGGGGGGGGGGGGGGTAGGATGGGAGAGGCCAAGTGGACATGACGTGAGGGGGGGGGGGGTAGGATGGGAGAGGCCAAGTGGACATTACGTGAGGGGTGGGGGTAGGAGAGGCCAAGTGGACATAACGTGGGAAGGGGGGGGGGTAGGATGGGAGAGGCCAAGTGGACATTACGTGAGGGGGGGGGGGGGGGTAGGATGGGAGAGGCCAAGTGGACATTACGTGGGAAGGGGGGGGGGGTAGAATGGGAGAGGCCAAGTGACATTACGTGAGGGGGGGGGGGGGGTAGGATGGGAGAGGCCAAGTGGACATTACGTGGGAAGGGGGGGGTAGGATGGGAGAGGCCAAGTGGACATTACGTGGGAAGGGGGGGGTAGGATGGGAGAGGCCAAGTGGACATACGTGGGAAGGGGGGGGGGTAGGATGGGAGAGGCCAAGTGGACATAACGGGGGGGGGGGGGTAGGATGGGAGAGGCCAAGTGGACATTACGTGGGAAGGGGGGGGGGTAGGATGGGAGAGGCCAAGTGGACATAACGGGGGGGGGGGGGGTAGGATGGGAGAGGCCAAGTGGACATGACGTGAGGGGGGGGGGTAGGCAGGGAGAGGCGACGCGTGGCGGGTGTAGGGGTCGCGTCTGTAATGACGGGTCGTTGTGTGCGTCTCACTGTTCTTCTGCTTCTTGCGATCGCGAGGAGGCTCCTTCAGGGCCTTGATGATCAGGGCCGACGCCGAGGGCACCACCTCAATCTGTCAAAGACAAAGATCCCCCCCACCCCGTATAGCCTTAACAGACTGTTGGGGCAAGTGCTGTTTACGAGTAGCGGCTATCAAGGCCGGCACGGCGCACGAGGGGGTTGGGTGGCCGGTGAAAATAATGAAATATAAATAATGGAAGTAAAAGTTCCACATGTACTTCAATTCCTGCCGATGTATCAACACCAAATGCAAGCTTGAGGCAGGGCAGCAACAAAAACAATCCCAGACCACAACAAGACAACAGATTCCCTGAATATCATTAAAAGGAACTAACCTTGATGCACAGGATAAAAGTTACAAATCACGATAGCGTCATAGGTTTAAGCCGGCGTTAATACGCGCTCACAAACGGCACTTTCCCCCATTGGAACCTCATTTGCCAGTAAAAAATATAATTGGTTTTTTACCCTTCTATCTGGCAACAAAACTGACACCTTTTTTACAAGGAGTCATGTTTGCATAGACCACAATACCTGCAGCCATAATGCAAACAAAAAACACAACTCTGATAATGTATGCACTGTCCTTGAAGTTGATTGGTCCACACCCGAGACAGCTTTCCTTAGAGCCTAGTCTCACATGGGTTGGACCAGATGACGCCTTTTGGCACATTATCAGAGTTACGTTTTTTGTTTGCATTACGACTGCAGGTATTGTGGTCTATGTAAACATGACTCCTTGTAAAAAAAGTGTCAGTTTTGTTGCCAGATAGAAGGGCACTTTCCCCATCAGTTTATGTAGACCACTAAACGTACTGTACATGTTGAACTTCTTTCGCACCGTACGTAGCCGATCGCTCTAATCGGAGGTGCGGGGGGGGGGCCAACAAACTAAACACACAACAAGCAGTTCCAGGGAAATTAGTTTATCAACCTCGATGATGATTTCATAAGTTGCATAGCTCCCAATGGCTTCGTAATATCGGTAGAAAAGAGCGTTCCAGACGGCCGCACGACAATGTCTTTGTTCGATGGCTGGGGGGCGATCCCTGTCCGAGTATTTGTGCGTACGCATTAGGCGTGGTAAGTCGGCGACCTTCCGTTAACTCACGGCGGCCTGACGGTTCTGGATGGTGAGGCGCACGGTGATGCGCAGGCCCTTCCAGTCCCCCGTCGCCTTGGCGATGTCATCGCCCACCTTCTTGGGCGACTGTCGGGGAGACAAAAAGTCGCGCACGCGCGTCGCCTCGTCAGCAGTAGAAGCAGCAGCAGCAAAGGCTGCAGCAGCAGCAACGGCTGCATCAGCAGCTACGGCTGCAGCAGCAGCTACGGCTGCAGCAGCAGCTACGGCTGCAGCAGCAGCAACGGCTGCAGCAGCAGCAACGGCTGCAGCAGCAGCTACGGCTGCAGCAGCAGCTACGGCTGCAGCAGCAGCTACGGCTGCAGCAGCAGCTACGGCTGCAGCAGCAGCTACGGCTGCAGCAGCAGCTACGGCTGCAGCAGCAGCTACGGCTGCAGCAGCAGCTACGGCTGCAGCAGCAGCAACGGCTGCAGCAGCAGCGGCAACAGAATGTTGATGGACCAAGTTTTACCAAGGTCCCACGACTAATTTTCCTGCCAAAGTTTTCCATTACTATTTTTTTAATTGTACCAGGTAAGGAGGGCCCACTGAGCTGTAAGCGAGAAGTGGCCGTATCAACGCGTGGATATTTCTCGTGGTCAAATACCCGAAAAACGCGCGATGCCGATTGTAAATGTGTAGGGGAAAAACCGGAGGGACGCCGGAGCAAAATCCACGCGACCACTGGGAGAGAGACACACACGCAAACTCCAAATATTCAGCCGATGTAGTTAGCATCTCGCCACAGAGAATGTAATGGAATGCACGGGGGGGGGGGGGGGGTAATCACGTACCAGACCCAGGGGTCCGATCTTGGGAGCCAGCGCTGATGTGGCACCGACTTCCCCGCCTGTGCATCGCAAGCACACTGAGGGCGACACAGAGAATAGAACACGGGGATCAACCACGGTGCATGTGCCACTCCACAAAAGTTGTGCCACCCTCACAGTAGTTGTGCCACTCCCAGAGTAGTTGTGCCACCCTCCATAACAGTTGTGCCACTCTCACAGTAGTTGTGCCACTCCGAGAGTAGTTGTGCCACTACACAACAGTTGTGCCACCCTCCACAACAGTTGTGCCACTACACGCCACAACAGTTGTGCCACTCCCAGAGTAGTTGTGCAACCCTCACAGTAGTTGTGCCACTCTACAGTAGTTGACACGTTCCGTGGGGAGCGGTTGCTAAACCCACACAGCGATGGATCAATCGCTCGATAACGGACAAGTGCTACACCTTTGTCGGCATGTTTTACTTTAGTTAATCGATTCCTTAACCTGATCGATTAAAGCCCGTGCAGCATGTGGACTTCATTGTCACTATTCCTCTCAGTCTGAAACGAGGGGGAGTTCTTACACGCTTTTATTTAACTCACTCTGTTGTCGTTGTATCCTCAAATCTTGTAACTTAATTTTAAACTCACTTCCCAATGTGGTACCGACTGCAAACATGGTATACTTATGTCATACTGATGACAATACTATATTCTATCATAAAAAATATACATTTTTTTTACATGTTATGTTTCGGCTTGGGTCTAATTGTCCACTCAACTGACGTTGGCTGCAATTACCCACGGTCCCCTTACGTTGTGGCAAGCTTCGGGGCCACTTCCTGGAGTCGTGGAGTTCTTTAACTTTTAATACATTCCAATAAAGCGTGTTTTAAAAAAGTTTAGTTTTATATATTTTATTACAGATTACTTTTGCGGCGTTTTAGCCGAGTGTGTGTGGGTCGTGGTGTCAACCATTCCCTTCAGTGTAATCGACTAAACCCGTAAAGTGTTGTCACTTGCATCGAAACAAAAACAATCATTCCCCATAAACACCGTGGCATTAAAAAAAACACAAAACAGACGTTTCGGGCAACGACACCCCCCTCCCCCCATCCTTTAATACAGAACGTCCGGCCCGCGGGCGGTACAAGGCCAGCGAAATCATTTGGTCTTGGCCCTACCAAGGCAACCGCAGGCGGGACTAGAAATTCAATAAATCTAGGAGAAAACCTGGCAAAGCAGTTGCGAGTAGCAGCAGCAACATCATCAACACCAGCTAACATCACATGCCTCGCCAGAGAGAAGCAGTTCCAGCCCATCGCATTAGGGGTGAGTTAATTAAATGTTTGACCAAATACAACGGGCTAATTTTTAAGTTGATCATTTTGTATGGCCCGCGGATTTGAGGCCGAGTGGACCTAGGGGAGGCCCAGGCCGTGAGCGTGATCGCCGGTTTCGTAGCGCAGCGTAGCGCTTAACCGCTAAACTACCGCTCCCCCAGACTCATATCCTGACACATACACCAACACACACACGTGCACACCAACACACACACGTGCACACCAACACACACACGTGCACACCAACACACACACGTGCACACCAACACACACACGTGCACACCAACACAAAGATCCCCCGTATAGCCTTAACAGACTGTAGGGGCAAGTGCTGTTAGCGAGCACCTACGAAGGCCAGAACGGTACACGAGGGGGTAGGTGGCCAGCATTACGCCCGGCCGCCTTTGTCTCCCCAGTGGCGATGTTTACACACCGCACCAGGTACTCATTTCAGGCTGAGTCGACCTAGGGGAGGCCGGCCCAGGACAGGTTCAAATAATCGTCACCGGTGTTGGCCGTGAGCGGGAATCGAACCCGGGTCAACCAGGTTCATAGCGCAGCGCGCTAACCACTACACCACCGCTCCCCCACACCAACACACACACGTGCACACCAAACACACACACGTGCACACCAACACACACACACGTGCACACCAACACACACACACGTGCACACCAACACACACACACGTGCACACCAACACACACACACGTGCACACCAACACACACACACGTGCACACCAACACACACACACTTGCACACCACACACACACACGTGCACACCAACACACACACACGTGCACACCAACACACACCACACGTGCACACCAACCACACCACCACACCGCTGCACACCAAACACAACACATACGTGCACACCAACACACCACACCACGTGCACACCACACCCACCACACGTGCACCCCAACACGTGCACACCAACACACACACGTGCACCCAACCACACACACACGTGCACACCAACACACACACGTGCACACCAACACAACACACGTGCACACCAACACACACACACGTGCACACCACACACACACACGTGCACACCAACACACACACACGTGCACACCAACACACACACACGTGCACACCAAACACACGTGCACACCAACACACACACACGTGCACACCAACACACAACACGTGCACACCAACACACACACACGTGCACACCAACACACACACACGTGCACACCAACACACACGTGCACACCAACACACACACACGTGCACACCAACACACACACGTGCACACCAACACACACACACGTGCACACCAACACACACACGTGCACAACACACACACACGTGCACACCAACACACACACGTGCACACCAACACACACACACGTGCACCACAACACACACACACGCACACACACATACGCGCACACCAACACACGTGCACACCAACACACACCAACACACGTGCACACCAACACACACACACCAACACACACGTGCACACCAACACACACACACCTGCACACCAACACACACACACGCGCACACCAACACACACACACGTGCACACCAACACACACACACGTGCACACCAACACACACACACGTGCACACCAACACACACACACACGTGCACACCAACACACGTGCACACCAACACACACAACCGCCATTCGCCACTAAGTGGCGGTGACGTCACCACGACGCTTGTGCCAGGCCATGTGCACCTTGAGGCCACGTGTTACTACTACACACGCGGCTCCTAGAGATAATACCCCCCACCCCACCAACCCTCTTCATCAGCGGATCCGGCGAACCCGTCTTTAGAGTTTATTTTCTCACAATCGCTCGCTAGCCACCAGGCATTTCATCCTCAACTCGCTCCATCTCCGCGCCGTACCAACACCGCCCCCGAAGAAGTTTATCGCTCCGCGCACTTTTGACAACCGCCAAGCAAACAAGGCCCGAGAGAGAAAGAGAAAGCCTCAACTAGGCCGCATTTAGAGCAAAACACCTCCCCACACACCGCCCACCCGCGCGCTCGATCCGCCATCGCCGCCGCCGACCCCTCACCGATCTTAATTTCGTTCGGGTCGAACTTGGGGGCCATGGCGGAAGGTGTTTGAGCGAAGCTGCGCGGCTAGAGGACTAGGGATGGCGTCGGATGAGCCTGGATTCAGGTCGACCGAGACGGATGCGCCCTCCCTGCTGTCTCTCTCGACTGCTGCTGCTGCCTCGCTTCTCGTCGGAAAGGGAGAGACGTCACTTCCGCTGGGACGTTTATACTCGGCGGGCTCATATTGTCGTCACTTCCGTCCGATGAAAACGCGATGACGTCATTTTCAGCGCCGGTGACGTCATTTCGCTGGGAAAATACGTCGTTTCAGTGGCGATGACGTCAATTTTCAGTGTCGATATCTGAAATTGATGATTACGTCATTTTCATTGGCGATATCTTTTGGCGATGATGTCATGTTTCCTCTCGACTGCTGCGGCCAACGCTTCTCGTCATGCAAGGGCGATGACGTAATTTTCAGTGCCGGTGACGTCATTTCGGTGGGAAAAGACCTCATTTCAATGGCGATGACGTCATTTTGAGTGGCGATATCTTATATTGGCGATGACGTCATTTTCAGTGGCGGTGACATCTTCGATTGGTTATTACGTCATTTTCTTTATCATATTTTGCTACTGGAAAAGGAGGTTCCAATGGTGTAAATGCTTACCCCGAGCTCTCATACTCTGATGGTGCATTGTCTTTGAGTTGTGCGCTTTTTGGCGTCATCTGGTCCAACACCATGTGAGACTAGGCTCTAAGGAAAGCTGTCTCGGGTGTGGACCAATCAATTTCAAGGACAGTGCATACATTATCAGAGTTGTGTTTTTTGTTTGCATTATGGCTGCAGGTATTGTGGTCTATGCAAACAGGACTCCTTGTAAAAAAGGTGTCAGTTTTGTTGCCAGATAAAAGGGTAAAAAAACCAATTATCATATTTTGCTACTGGCAAATGAGGTTCCAATGGTGGAGGTGACGTCCTTAACATCACTAGCCCTGACCACTTCTTTATAACCCTTGAGCGACACCCATTTCAAACCTTTTAAAACAGTCTTCCTCAGCAGCAGACTATGCTTTCCCACCAGATGACGCTCCGACTGATGCTCCTGCTATTGTGGAGTGACTCATGCAGACAGCTATGGCTGCAGGGTTTGGTAGTACATGTTGTTTACGTCGTTTATTGTGAAAATTCGGTCACGGTTCCTATGATCTGCACTGTTTCATTGCTTTCATGGCTTTATTTTGGTGATTTTTGAAAAGTGTATTCGTTTGGCCATGTTTGTTTGTTGTAGTACAGAGTTAGACTGATGGCCTTAATCTAAGTTGTCTTGTGGTTGTTTTTGTTTGACTTGCATCCCACTGGGATTTTTGCACACAGCGTTGGTGTGCGGTGCTTTTTCTGCAACATTTTGCTGTCTTTTCTTGGATTTTCTGTTTGCACATATTCACTTTAAGATGTTTTCTTGTTCATGTTCATGTTTTTTTGTTTGTTGCGGTTGCACCCGATTCAAGAGCCGAATGGCTCACAGGGCTGTACCTAATCAATGAACTTGAAACTTGTGTTGCGCCCGAAACGTCGCGACCTATTTTATTTTATACCCACGTGACTTTACCCAAAAAACCAAAGAGTACACACATAGCAGTTTACAGGAACCACTTCAGACCACGGTTTACCGTTGGACAATATAAATATTTATTTGCAGAACTGCAGACGTTGCTTTGAAAATCCTCGCTTTTTAAATCCTTTATATTAAGTTCGCTTGCTTGCTTGCTTACGACCGTGCAAATCTTTCGGTCGTTTTTAACCCACTTCCCGTCATCCAATCGAGCTGACATTTTGCACACAGACTCGTTGTGCGAGACAATTAATGTTCGTGAAATTTTACACTGTTTAGGGAAAACAAATTAAATATTTAATTACCAATTGCTTAATACTGGCATACAATCATCTGACCCATAGGTGGCAGCCATCTCAAGCCAGAGGACGAGAAGACTCTAGCCGCCACGCATATAAAGGATTTATAGTGAAAAACTTTGTTTTTACGGGTATACTTATTTTTGTTTTAAAAAAGCTCTTGCCGAGCGTGAACAGCACGCGAGACCCGGGAGAATGAAGATGGAAAGTTTCTTCTGACGGCGTACGTTTTATTGGTGATGAATAACGTCGTAAAAAATAACGTCGTAAAAAATAACGTCGTAAAAAATAACGTCGTGGTCAGTCGAAGAGTTGCCGGAGTTCAGCACTAAACCGGTTGTTGTTGTGCATCGAGTTAAACCCACAACAACATTTACAATTAAATCCTGGCCATCGCCTGATGATGCTGATGGTAGTTGATGCTTGGAGTCTCAATCAAGGCACTTGATCGTGAAACCCACAGTGTCTGATGATTATATTCTTAGGTTTTTTCGGTAAAGTCACGTAGGTAAAACATCAAAATTAATCAAAATAAAATAAAACAAAAATCACGACGTTTTATTTTATTTTTATTAATTTTGATGTTTTACCTACGTGACTTTACCGAAAAAACCTAAGAATATGAATCATTGCTAGTCACGAAAGCTTCAAATCTAGAATGTCTATATGATTCTCAACTCTCCATCCTGGTCTCACCTAGTCTCACGACGCCGCGTGTGAAATCGAAGTCTTCCAGAAAGAGAAAATAAACTCTTGTTCTAGATTTGAAGCTTTAGTGACTGCAAGGATTCATATTCAGTTCAACCAGTCTACACAACAAAGACTCATTCCTGGCAGCGGTTTCAGCCGCACCTTAACAACTCTTGGAACCTCCGAGTTCAACCAATCTACACAACAAAGGCTCATTCCTAACAGCGTGCTTCAGCCGCACCGAACCTCACGAAAATAATATTCAGAGCCTACCTTGGCTCCTCCCACCCTCAACCAGTATATATACAAGGACTGTTTTCTGGGAATTTCTCTCACTTGATACAGCAGTCGTGCTGTGACGGTTCCACCTGAAGACAGAAGCTTGTGTTGCCTCCGAAACGTCGTGATTTTTATTTTATTTGTAATAATTTAAATTTAATTTTTTTACCTACGTAACTTTACCGAAAAAAACCTAAGAATATAAACTCTTGTTTTTATTTGACCAGGTAAGGCCCCACTGAGGCTACACGTGACTCTTTATCAGACGCCACCTGGCCACAAACGATAGCTCAACGAAGTGGAATTTGTAGAAGCGGACAAATACTCTAAACGCGTGTTTCTAAATGTGGAGGGGAAAACCGGAAAAGCCGGAGAAAAATCCACGCGACCACAGGGAGAACATGCAAACTCCAATTATACAGAAGGCGTCAGGGTAGTGATCGAACCCACGGCCTCTTGCATACCAGGCAAGGGAGTTAACAGTTTGCCACGGGGAGAGAGAGAGACACGCAAACTCCAAATATACAACAGGCGTCAGGGTCGGGATCGAACCCACGACCCCCTGTACACCAGGCAAGGGATTTAACATCTCCTAGCCACCGTGATGATGATGAGAGAGAGAGACACGCAAACTCCAAATATACAGCAGCAGGCTTCAGGGTCGGGAACGAACCCACGACCCCCTGTACACCAGGCGAGGTAGTCAAAATCTTCTAGCCACTCCAACGGTGCATCTGAAATCCAGTGTCTCGAAATTCTATAAATCACTTTTTCACTTTTGTCAGTCGGTCGTGTAAATAAATGCGTGCAAACCGCGAACTTAATTTATGACTGCGTCAACATCGTCTAGTTACAACAACACGTTTTTTTATTTTTACTTCAGGTTGTTTGCCACCAAGCAAACCCCCATCGTTATAGGTCTTGACGTGTTGCGAAGACGGGACATCTCCCGTCGACACGGCACCTCTTTCTAGATTTGAAGCTTTCGTGACTGCAAGGATTCATATTCTTAGGTTTTTTCGGTAAAGTCACGTAGGTAAAACATTAAAATTAATAAAAGTAAAATAAAATAAAAATCACGACGTTTCGGAAGCAACACAAGCTTCCGTCTTCAGGTGGATTTTTTTATTTTATTTTACTTTTATTATCTTCTTGGTTCTTTCGGTAAAGTCACGTAGAAGGGAAGTAATAAAATAATAAAAATAAAACATAATAAAATAAAATAATTCTCACGACGTTTCGGCTACAACGCAAGCAGCCGTCTTCAGGTGAAGAATGAGACACTACCAAGCTAGGAGCTTATATATAAGCTGGGTTGGAGGTTGAAGCTGCGTTGGAGGTGGAAGAGCGCCTTAACAAAAATAATGTGCATATGAAGAGGAATTTAGCATATTCATGGGAAATGCGTAGGAGGTGGGTGGGTATGCTAAATTCCTCTTGATATGCACATTCTTGTTGTTAAGGCGCTCTTCTTGCACCTCCAACCCAGCGTATATATAAGCTCCTAGCTTGGCAGTGTCTCATTCTTCGCCTGAAGACGGCTGCTTGCGTTGTAGCCGAAACGTCGTGAGAATTATTTTATTTAATTATGTTTTATTTTTATTATTTTATTACTTCCCTTCTACGTGACTTTACCGAAACAACCTAAGAATACGGCACCTCTTGTATATTTGTTTTCGATTTTCAGACCACAGTCCTGTTGGCGAATGTGTTTGAGTTTTCACGGGCACAGTGTTGCTACAGAAAAGAGTACGTTCATAAGTTAACGGAAATTAAATTAGTCAGTTCAAGATACATTTCTCCAGGCAATGAGGCCATACAGAACCCTCATCCTATACAGAACCCTCATCCCATACAGAACTCTCGTCTCATCGCTCAAAATAAATTAAGTAGTTATTAATCGCACCTTTCCTTACCTGTTAATTTATATATATATTTTTTTAAATAAGTGCAAGTTGAGTAAAATATTTTTGTTGTTGTAAAAATCCATTCGAAGGATTTACTGTGGCTAAGAACGATCATAGTTCAACATGACAGGAGGCACTGCAGCATTGCCAGCCCCATGTGATATTGTCGTTGATGTCACCTGGCAATGGGAGCAAACGTCTGGAATCCAGCACTGTAGGTTTGTATGTTGCACGTATGTATGTTGAACGTCTTTTCGCACCGTACGTATCCGACAGTGCTAATACGAGGTGTAGAGTTGAGTCTATGGGCAGTGTTGAGTCTGTGGGAAGTGTTGAGTCTATGGGTAGTGTTGAGTCTATGGGCAGTGTTGAGTCTATGAGAAGTGTTGAGTCTGTGGGAAGTGTTGAGTCTATGGGTAGTGTTGAGTCTATGGGCAGTGTTGAGTCTATGAGAAGTGTTGAGTCTATGGGTAGTGTTGAGTCTATGGGCAGTGTTGAGTCTATGGGTAGTGTTGAGTCTATGGGCAGTGTTGAGTCTATGGGTAGTGTTGAGTCTATGGGTAGTGTTGAGTCTATTGGTAGTGTTGAGTCTCTATAGGCAGTGTTGAGTCTATGGGCAGTGTTGAGTCTATGGGTAGTGTTGAGTCTATGGGCAGTGTTGAGTCTATGGGTAGTGTTGAGTCTATGGGTAGTGTTGAGTCTATGGGTAGTGTTGAGTCTATGGGTAGTGTTGAGTCTATGGGCAGTGTTGAGTCTATAGGCAGTGTTGAGTCTATGGGTAGTGTTGAGTCTATGGGTAGTGTTGAGTCTATGGGTAGTGTTGAGTCTATGGGCAGTGTTGAGTCTATGGGTAGTGTTGAGTCTATGGGTAGTGTTGAGTCTATGGGTAGTGTTGAGTCTATGGGCAGTGTTGAGTCTATGGGCAGTGTTGAGTCTATAGGCAGTGTTGAGTCTATGGGTAGTGTTGAGTCTATGGGTAGTGTTGAGTCTATGGGCAGTGTTGAGTCTATAGGCAGTGTTGAGTCTATAGGCAGTGTTGAGTCTATGGGTAGTGTTGAGTCTATGGGTAGTGTTGAGTCTATGGGTAGTGTTGAGTCTATGGGCAGTGTTGAGTCTATGGGTAGTGTTGAGTCTATGGGTAGTGTTGAGTCTATGGGCAGTGTTGAGTCTATAGGCAGTGTTTATGTATGTTGAACTTCTTTCACACCGTACGTAGCCAACCGCGCATAATCGGAGGTTAGCACGGTCGGCTTTTAAAGCCACAGCGATACTGACGGCGCTAACGCAGTAGCAGCACATCCAAAGAAATAGTTTACGTCGAAAAATAAATTGTAACAATTATTATTATAACAGACGAGTAAAAAAAAAAAACATTTAGTCGACGTGACGAACACCGCCCGCACTCGCCGGAGACAACGCCGGGCGGCCATCTTGCCGCCCCCCCTCGTCCACAGCGCCCCTCCCCTCCCCTCCCGCCCCCCCGCGGGAACAGCCGTCCCGGCAGCGGCACAGACGCGGCCACGGCACGGCCACTGCCGCCACGCGGCCAGAACCGGAGGAGCCGGAGTAGCCAGCGCCACAGCGGAACGGAATCCGGCGCTCAGCGGTGGTGGCGGTGGTGGCGGTGGCGGTGGTGGCGGTGGTGGCGGTGGAGCGGGTCTGCGGCTCGCAGCCCGCGGGGCAGCGTGGGACGCGGAGAGGTCGGAGACTCACGCAGTCGCCCTCCACCACGGCAGGCACGCAGCGCCGGGAGCGACGGGCGCACGAGGCAGCCGCCGCCGTCGCCGTCGCGGCGATGGTGCTGCTGCTGGCGCTGGCGGCGGCGGTGGTGGTGGTGGTGCCGATGGCGGTGGCTGCGGTGGTGGTCCTGGTTGAGGGCGGGGGGTAGGTGCCGGGGTAGGAGAGCGTTATCCATGATACGGTGTTTTTTGGGGGTTTGATCGCGTCAATTTCAACGTTGTGTCGTTCAATCCGCCGCCGCCACCACCCGACACGGCCAATTAGTAAAGTCGTGTCACGTAAATAGAACGTGGCCAATTCGTTACCTGGCACAGCAACTAAACGGGTTGTGTGTGTTTGAGAGTTAAAACCCACGAGACAACATTTACAATTCGCGAGTAGCGTGACATTCCGAGAGTCATTGCAACAACAACAACCACCAGCAGCAGCAGCAGCATCATATTATTGGTCGTGAAAGCCATACCACTGTAACGGGTTCCGGAGACACTTGTAGATGTACTTCTTTATTACAATACAACACTCCAACAGTACTCCAACAGTCCTGATACTCTGTTACAGCCTAGGTACACAGCCTAGCTACACAGCCTAGATACTCTACTCTGGCTACGCTCTGGACTCGCCCTCACAAGGTCGTAGAGTCGGGAGTTCCAGAGTCCCAGCGCTGGCTCTCACAGCATCCCAGGGTCTTCAGATGGCTGGTCGTGGGTCTTGGGTCTTGAGTTACAACTGGGCCCTGATCGTCCAGGGAGCTCTCCTTTTATGCCTGGTCTAACGAGGGGTGGGGCCGTGTGCGCCACCAGACATCCCACAGAGCACACACGGCCCCCCCCCCCCCGTTGGCGGCGCCAAAAAGGCTTAAGCGCCTGGGAACCCAACGCCTGGCGCCCAGAGGCTTAAGCGTCTGGACCCACCTGGGAACCCAGAGCCCCCAGCAGCCCCTCCCTTCTTATGTCACTACACCACTACTACTACTGCCACGTGTCAAACCTAGCCGATTCATTTGCACGCAACCAAATGAACCAAGTTGCAAGCATCGCATCGCCCAGGCTCCTCCAATTCCCACGTGTTTGGCTTTGTAGGGTGCAAAAGAAGTTCAACATACATGCGGCTCAGGTACCTTGGTGACGCCGCGATCGCCACGGTGACGGCGCATTTGACGTGGAGACGATCCGCACGGCCTCACAAGACAGGCTCTCGTGCGGCGGACCGACCGGCACCCGACCCCGACGTGCCCGGCCAGACGAGTGGAACGACCCCGGCCGCACGACGCGGAGCAGGGAGACCAGCCGGGCGACGGCTCGCCCCGACACGCGCCAAGCGTCTCGGCCGCCGCCGGCGGGGCAGCGGGAGGGAGGAGGCGGGAGGCGTCGGAACCGCGGAAAGCTGCGGGAGGGGTGAGACGGCGCGGGGGCAACCCGGGGGTTGGTTCGATCCGCTGCGGGGGACGCGATCCGCACCGTCGCGTCCGTGACGCGGAGCCACGATCGGTCTCGTGGGGCTACGCACGGTGCGAAAGAAGTTTAACATACATGCACACTGCCCATAGACTCACACTACCTATAGACTCACACTGCCCATAGACTCACACTACCCATAGACTCACACTACCCATAGACTCACACTGCCCATAGACTCAACACTGCCCATAGACTCACACTACCCATAGACTCACACTGCCCATAGACTCAACACTGCCCATAGACTCACACTACCCATAGACTCACACTGCCCATAGACTCACACTACCCATAGACTCACACTGCCCATAGACTCACACTACCTATAGACTCAACACTGCCCATAGACTCACACTACCTATAGACTCAACACTGCCCATAGACTCACACTACCTATAGACTCAACACTGCCCATAGACTCACACTACCTATAGACTCAACACTGCCCATAGACTCACACTACCTATAGACTCAACACTACCCATAGACTCACACTACCTATAGACTCAACACTGCCCATAGACTCACACTACCTATAGACTCACACTGCCCATAGACTCACACTACCTATAGACTCAACACTGCCCATAGACTCACACTACCTATAGACTCAACACTGCCCATAGACTCACACTACCTATAGACTCACACTGCCCATAGACTCAACACTGCCCATAGACTCACACTGCCCATAGACTCAACACTGCCCATAGACTCAACACTGCCCATAGACTCAACACTGCCCATAGACTCAACACTACCTATAGACTCACACTGCCCATAGACTCAACACTGCCCATAGACTCACACTACCTATAGACTCACACTGCCCATAGACTCAACACTGCCCATAGACTCAACACTGCCCATAGACTCACACTACCTATAGACTCAACACTGCCCATAGACTCACACTACCTATAGACTCAACACTGCCCATAGACTCACACTGCCCATAGACTCAACACTGCCCATAGACTCACACTGCCTATAGACTCAACACTACCCATAGACTCAACACTGCCCAAAGACTCAACACTGCCCAAAGACTCAACACTGCCCATAGACTCAACACTGCCCATAGACTCAACACTGCCCATAGACTCAACACTACCCATAGACTCACACTACCTATAGACTCAACACTGCCCATAGACTCAACACTGCCCATAGACTCACACTACCTATAGACTCAACACTGCCCATAGACTCAACACTGCCCATAGACTCACACTACCTATAGACTCAACACTGCCCATAGACTCAACACTGCACCATAGACTCAACACTGCCCATAGACTCACACTACCCATAGACTCAACACTGCCCATAGACTCACACTACCTATAGATTCAACACTGCCCATATACTCACACTACCTAGAGACTCAACACTGCCCATAGACTCACACTACCTATAGACTCAACACTGCCCATAGACTCACACTACCTATAGACTCAACACTGCCCATAGACTCACACCACCTATAGACTCAACACTGCCCATAGACTCACACTACCTATAGACTCAACACTGCCCATAGACTCAACACTGCCCATAGACTCACACTACCTATAGACTCAACACTGCCCATAGACTCACACTACCTATAGACTCAACACTGCACCATAGACTCAACACTGCCCATAGACTCACACTACCTATAGACTCAACACTGCCCATAGACTCAACACTGCCCATAGACTCACACTACCTATAGACTCAACACTGCCCATAGACTCACACTACCTATAGACTCAACACTGTACCATAGACTCAACACTGCCCATAGACTCACACTACCTATAGACTCAACACTGCCCATAGACTCAACACTACCTATAGACTCAACACTGCCCATAGACTCAACACTGCCCATAGACTCAACACTGCCCATAGGCTCAACACTGCCCGTAGACTCAGCACTGCCTATAGACTCAGAACTGTCCATAGACTCAACACTACTCATAGACTCAACACTGCCCATAGACTCAACACTGCCCATAGACTCAACACTGCCCATAGACTCAACACTGCCCATAGACTCAACACTACCCATAGACTCAACACTACCCATAGACTCAACACTGCCCATAGACTCAACACTGCCCATAGACTCACACTACCCATAGACTCAACACCGCCCATAGACTCAACACTGCACCATAGACTCAACACTGCCCATAGACTCAACACTGCCCATAGACTCAACACTGCACCATAGACTCAACACTGCCCATAGACTCAACACTGCCCATAGACTCAACACTGCCCATAGACTCAACACTGCCCATAGGCTCAACACTGCCCGTAGACTCAGCACTGCCTATAGACTCAGAACTGTCCATAGACTCAACACTACTCATAGACTCAACACTGCCCATAGACTCAACACTGCCCATAGACTCAACACTGCCCATAGACTCAACACTGCCCATAGACTCAACACTACCTATAGACTCAACACTGCCCATAGACTCAACACTACCCATAGACTCAACACTGCCCATAGACTCACACTACCCATAGACTCAACACCGCCCATAGACTCAACACTGCCCATAGACTCAACACTGCCCATAGACTCAACACTGCCCATAGACTCAACACTGCCCGTAGACTCAACACTGCCCATAGAGTCAACACTGCCCATAGACTCACACTACCTATAGACTCAACACTGCACCATAGACTCAACACTGCCCATAGACTCACACTACGTATAGACTCAACACTGCCCATAGATCTTCTTGGTTCTTTCGGTAAAGTCACGTAGAAGGGAAGTAATAAAATAATAAAAATAAAACATAATTATTATGTTTTATTTTTATTATTTTATTACTTCCCTTCTACGTGACTTTACCGAAAGAACCAAGAAGATGAATCCCTGCAGTCACGAAAGCTTTAAATCGAAACTGCCCATAGACTCAACACTGCCCATAGACTCACACTACCTATAGACTCAACACTGCCCATAGACTCACACTACCTATAGACTCAACACTGTACCATAGACTCAACACTGCCCATAGACTCACACTACCTATAGACTCAACACTGCCCATAGACTCAACACTACCTATAGACTCAACACTGCCCATAGACTCAACACTGCCCATAGACTCAACACTGCCCATAGACTCAACACTGCCCATAGGCTCAACACTGCCCGTAGACTCAGCACTGCCTATAGACTCAGAACTGTCCATAGACTCAACACTACTCATAGACTCAACACTGCCCATAGACTCAACACTGCCCATAGACTCAACACTGCCCATAGACTCAACACTGCCCATAGACTCAACACTACCTATAGACTCAACACTGCCCATAGACTCAACACTACCCATAGACTCAACACTACCCATAGACTCAACACCGCCCATAGACTCACACTACCCATAGACTCAACACCGCCCATAGACTCAACACTGCACCATAGACTCAACACTGCCCATAGACTCACACTACCTATAGACTCAACACTGCCCATAGACTCAACACTACCTATAGACTCAACACTGCCCATAGACTCAACACTGCCCATAGACTCAACACTGCCCATAGACTCAACACTGCCCATAGGCTCAACACTGCCCGTAGACTCAGCACTGCCTATAGACTCAGAACTGTCCATAGACTCAGCACTGCCCATAGACTCAGAACTGACCATAGATTCAGAAATGCCTATAGACTCAACACTGCCCATAGACTCAACACTGCACCATAGACTCAACACTGCCCATAGACTCAACACTGCCCATAGACTCAACACTGTCCGTAGACTCAACACTGCCCATAGAGTCAACACTACCTATAGACTCAACACTGTCCATACACTCAGCACTGCCCATAGACTCAACACTGTCCATACACTCAGCACTGCCCATAGACTCAGAACTGACCATAGATTCAGAAATGCCTATAGACTCAACACTGCCCATAGACTCAACACTGCACCTCCGATTAGCACAATAGGCTACGTAGAGTGCGAAAGAAAGTAAAAAGCACACACCTGCCAATGTTTTCACTCCTTTGAAGCCCTCCTTTAGGATATCCCCTGCTGCATCTGCCACCACCTCATCACTGCCTCCTACTCCTCCTCCTCCACCACTCTCCAGGCCGTGTGCAGACGACGGTCCACAGTCCCACTCGAGGCAGCAGGCGTTAGTGCCTAGCGAGGGGGGACGGAGAGGCACGCGAAGATCACCGACCATTCTCATCATTATTATTTATTACTCACATTTATTAATCACTATTATTAATCATTATTATTTATTAATCACATTTATTAATCATTATTATTAATCACTATTATTAATCATTATTATTTATTAATCACATGTATTAATCACTATTATTAATCATTATTAATCATTATTATTTATTAATCATATTTATTAATCATTATTATTAATCACTATTATTAATCATTATTATTTATTAATCACATTTATTAATCACTATTATTAATCATTATTAATCATTATTATTTATTAATCATATTTATTAATCATTATTATTAATCACTATTATTAATCATTATTATTTATTAATCACATTTATTAATCACATTTATTAATCACTATTATTAATCATTATTATTTATTAATCACATTTATTAATCACTATTATTAATCACTATTATTAATCATTATTATTAATCATTATTATTTATTAATCACTATTATTAATCATTTTTATTTATTAATCACTATTATTAATCACTATTATTGATAATTATTATTATTTATTAATCACCGTTATTACTCACTATTATTGATCATTATTATTTATCAATCACTATCATTACCCATTATTATTCATCATCATTATCACGGGATGTTGGCTATCAACAACAAGGCAACTCCTACGACTAATTGGGAATGGGACGCAAGCGTAGGATTGATCACCCTGTCGCTGGCCGCCTTTGGGGAGGGTGTATCGTGTGAAAGGCCGAAACACCCTAGGAACCAAAGGTTCACTACTGACGATGCGCTCACCAAATTTCACCAGGCTCTCTGTTCATGAACTCTTGGAAGTTGCTTGCACAAAGGATAGTAACATCTCATCCTGTGTTCTTCTTCTTGGTTCTTTCGGTAAAGTCACGTAGAAGGGAAGTAATGAAATAATAAAAATAAAACATAATAAAATAAAATAATATTATAAAATAATATAATATTATTTTATTATGTTTTATTTTTATTATTGTATTCCTTCCCTTCTACGTGACTTTACCGAAAGAACCAAGAAGATGAATCCCTGCAGTCACGAAAGCTTTAAATCGAAATCTCATCCTGTGTTCTTTGGAATCATCGCCGTTTCTTCCCCCGCGTAGCTCACCTGGCGCGCGTCTCAGCAGGGGCCGTGGACACGCGTGGAGCGGCGGCAGCGGCGGCCGTGGCCGCGGGCACAGCGGGGCGCAGCCCGCGGCGCCGTCCACACACGAGCAGCGGTGGGTGCAGCTCACAGAGAACGACTCCCCGTGCTGGTACACGCGGCCTGCCAGCTCGCACGAGCGGCCCTCCTGGAGCGCTGTGGGTACACACAGGTACACACACACACAGGTACACACACACAGCTACACAGGTTCATACACAGGTACACACACACAGGTACACACACAGGTACACACACACAGGTACATACACACAGGTACACACACAGGCACACACACACACAGGTACACACACACAGGTACACACACAGGTACACACACAGGTACACACACACACACAGTCCTGGTACACGCGGCCTGCCAGCTCGCACGAGCGGCCCTCCTGGAGCGCTGTGAGTACACACAGGTACACAGGTTCATACACAGGTACACATACACACATGTACACACAGGTACACAGACACAGGTACACACACACAGGTACACACACACACACAGGTACACAGGTTCATACACACACACAGGTACACAGGTACACACACACAGGTACACACACACAGGTACACACAGGTACACACACACAGGTACACACACAGGTACACGTGGCCTGCCAGCTCGCACGAGCGCCCCTCCTGGAGCGCTGTGGGTACACACAGGTAGACACACAGGTACACACACACAGGTACACAGGTACATACACACACAGGTACATACACAGGTACACACACAGGTACACACACACAGGTACACAGGTACACACACACACACAGGTACACAGGTACATACACACACACACAGGTACACACACACAGGTACACACACACACAGGTACATACACAGGTACACGCGGCCTGCCAGCTCGCACGAGCGCCCCTCCTGGAGCGCTGTGAGTACACAGGTACACACACACACACGTACACACACACAGGTACACACACACAGGTACACACACACACAGGTACACACATACACAGGTACATACACACAGGTACACAGGTTCATACACAGGTACACACACACAGGTACACACACACAGGTACACACACACAGGTACACACACAGGTACACACACACACACAGGTACACAGGTTCATACACACACACACAGGTACACAGGTACACACACACAGGTACACAGGTACACACACAGGTACACACACACACAGGTACACACACAGGTACACAGGTACACACACAGGTACACACACACACAGGTACACACACAGGTACACACACACACAGGTACACACACAGGTACACACACATACACAGGTACACACACATACACAGGTACACACACATACACAGGTACACACACACACAGGTACACGCGGCCTGCCAGCTCGCACGAGCGGCCCTCCTGGAGCGCTGTGGGTACACACAGGTACACACACACACACAGGTACACACACACATGTTCACACACACAGGTTCACACACACAGGTTCACACACACACAGGTACACACACACAGGTACATACACAGATTCACACACAGGTACACACACAGGTACACACACACACAGGTACATACACAGATTCACACACAGGTACACACACACAGGTACACACACACAGGTACACACAGGTACATACACAGGTACACACACAGGTACACAGGTACACACACACAGGTACACACACACACAGGTACACACACACAGGTACAACAACAACAACCGCCATTCGCCACTAAGTGGCGGTGACGTCACCACGACGCTTGTGCCAGGCCAAGTGCACCTTGAGGCCACGTGAAGTGTCGAACGCCCAGCTGGCAGGAGGTCACGGGGCAGACCCAGCAGGTGCCACGGGTCAACTGACCGAGATGACCGAGATGACTGGCTGATGCACCACCTGTGCCCCCTACTGTACCAACTTGCTGTGCTTTAGCCACCCGGCGCTCCGCTCGTTGTTGTGAGCGTCGCTCCTCCGCCCTCCGTTGTTGCTGGAGGGCGACTGCCTCCAACTGCCCAGTAGCGTCCTTCACGAGCCTCCTCCACTGAGGCCGATCTTGACACCGCTGGTACCAGTCATCGGCAAGTCCACTCAGCTCCACGTCCTCCTGTACCACATCACTCCATCTCCCCTCTAGCCCGTGCTGCGCCCGTTTAGCCCCCTCGATCCGGCCAAACAGAAGCTGTTTAGGCATGCGGTGGCTGGGCATGCGGGCTACATGACCCAGCCAACGCAGCCTTGCCTGCCGGAGGAGCTCACGGATGGGACTTTGTCCAGATCTTTCAAGGATTTGTGAGCTCCTCACACAATCTAGCCTGGTTAAATAAAGGCCGCCTTTGTCTCCCCAGAGGCGATGCTTACACACCGCACCAGATACTCATTTGAGTCGACCTAGGGGAGGCCCAGGACCGGTTCAGGGTTGCGATTTCCGCATGGAAAATGCGGAAGGAGGGTTCAAATTTTCCCGCATTTTTGCCAAAGTCAACCGCAAACGGTGGAAAGACTACTCCTATGACCGCGCGCTTTTAACAACACGTTAATGCGTTCTATTGGAAAGGATACATGCAAGGCCCAGCGTCACGTAGGGCTTTGAGTTACTGATTGGAATGAATATATGATTTCCGCATTTCCGCACAAGAACCACATACTTTATTCAAATGCGGAGCCGTGATTACGAGCACATGTACATGATGTATCCTTTCCAATAGAACGCATTAACGTGTTGTTAAAAGCGCGCGGTCATAGGAGTAGTCTTTCCACCGTTTGCGGTTGACTTTAGCAAAAATGCGGGAAAATTTGAACCCTCCTTCCGCATTTTCCATGCGGAAATCGCAACCCTGACCGGTTCAGATAATCGTCACCGGTGTTGGCCGTGAGTGGGAATAGAACCCGGGTCGCCAGGTTCGTAGCGCAGCGTAGCGCTAACCCTCTGCACCACAACAACAACAACAACCGCCATTAGCCTCTAAGTGGCGGTGACGTCACCACGACGCTTGTGCCAGGCTATGTGCACCACACACAGGTAGACACACACACGTAACGAACTCACTAACCTACTCACAGACTATGCAACTAAGTAACAAACTAACTAACGAACTAAATCAACTATCCAACCCAGTAGTAACCAAAACACACTTTGCTCACCAAACGATTTAATCAACTAATCATCAAACGAACTATCCAGCCAACCACTTCACTAAAATAACGAATCCACTAACTAACCAAACGACTAAATGACCAAGCAAGCAAGCGACGAATGAGATTATCAACGTACAAACTCACAAACTAACTAACCAAGAAACCAAATGGTACAAATATAAAGGAAAACGAAACTGTGTTTTTTTATTTTACCAGCTAAGGCCCCAACTGAGCTATGTAGTTCTTTTTCAGAAGCGACTTGGCCATCAAAAATTATATCTCAACCAAGTGGCTTATCATCATTATCATCAAGTGGACATTTATAGCAACCAAATACTCTCAACAGTGACGTTAATTCTAAATGTGGAGGGTAAATAACCGGAGGACCCAGAGAAAAATCCACTCGACCACGGTGAGAGAGACACGCAAACTCCAAATATACAGCAGCAGGCGTCAGGGTCGGGATGGAACCCACGACTTCCTGTACACCAGGCGAGGTAGTTAACATCTCCTAGCCACCGTGATGATGATGAGAGAGAGAGACACGCAAACTCCAAATATACAGCAGCAGGCATCATGGTCTGGATCGAACCCACAACCTCCTGCACACCAGGCGAGGTAGTCAACATCTCCTAGCCGCTGTGATGATGAGAGAGAGAGACACGCAGACTCCAAATATACAGCAGCAGGCGTCAGGGTCGGGATGGAACCCACGACCTCCTGTACACCAGGCGAGGTAGTTAACATCTCCTAGCTACCGGTGATGATGATGATGAGAGAGAGAGACACCGCAAACTCCAAATATACAGCAGCAGGCATCATGGTCTGGATCGAACCCACGACCTCCTGCACACCAGGCAAGTTAGTCAACATCTCCTAGCCACCGTGATGATGATGATGAGAGAGAGAGACACCGCAAACTCCAAATATACAGCAGCAGGCATCATGGTCTGGATCGAACCCACGACCTCCTGTACACCAGGCGAGGTAGTCAACATCTCCTAGCCACCGTGATGATGATGATGATGAGAGAGAGAGACACCGCAAACTCCAAATATACAGCAGCAGTCATCAGGGTCAGGTTCAAACCCACGACCCCCTGTACACCAGGCGAGGTAGTCAACATCTCCTAGCCACCGTGATGATGATGAGAGAGAGAGAGACACCGCAAACTCCAAATATACAGCAGCAGGCATCATGGTCTGGATCGAACCCACGACCTCCTGTACACCAGGCGAGGTAGTTAACATCTCCTAGCCACCGTGATGATGAGAGAGAGAGACACCGCAAACTCCAAATATACAGCAGCAGGCATCATGGTCTGGATCGAACCCACGACCTCCTGTACACCAGGCGAGGTAGTCAACATCTCCTAGCCACCGTGATGATGATGATGAGAGAGAGAGACACCGCAAACTCCAAATATACAGCAGCAGGTATCATGGTCTGGATCGAACCCACGACCTCCTGTACACCAGGCGAGATAGTTAACATCTCCTAGCCACCGTGATGATGAGAGAGACACCGCAAACTCCAAATATACAGCAGCAGGCATCATGGTCTGGATCGAACCCACGACCTCCTGTACACCAGGCGAGATAGTTAACATCTCCTAGCCACCGTGATGATGAGAGAGACACCGCAAACTCCAAATATACAGCAGCAGGCATCATGGTCTGGATCGAACCCACGACCTCCTGTACACCAGGCGAGGTAGTCAACATCTCCTAGCCACCGTGATGATGATGATGAGAGAGAGAGACACCGCAAACTCCAAATATACAGCAGCAGTCATCAGGGTCAGGTTCAAACCCACGACCTCCTGTACACCAGGCGAGGTAGTCAACATCTCCTAGCCACCGTGATGATGATGATGAGAGAGAGAGACACGCAAACTCCAAATATACAGCAGCAGTCATCAGGGTCAGGTTCAAACCCACGACCTCCTGCACACCAAGCGAGGTAGTCAACATCTCCTAGCCACCGTGATGATGATGATGAGAGAGAGAGACACCGCAAACTCCAAATATACAGCAGCAGGCGTCGGGGTCTGGATCGAACCCACGACCTCCTGCACACCAGGCGAGGTAGTCAACATCTCCTAGCCACCGTGATGATGATGATGAGAGAGAGAGACACCGCAAACTCCAAATATACAGCAGTAGGCGTCAGGGTTTGGTTCGAACCCAGGACCTCCTGCACACCAGGCGAGGTAGCCAACATCTCCTAGCCACCGTGATGATGATGAGAGAGAAGACACGCAAACTCCAAATATACAGCAGCAGGCGTCAGGGTCTGGTTCGAACCCACGACCTCCTGTACACCAGGCGAGGTAGTCAACATCTCCTAGCCACCGTGATGATGATGATGAGAGAGAGAGACACGGCAAACTCCAAATATACAGCAGCAGGCATCATGGTCTGGATCAAACCCACGACCTCCTGCACACCAGGCGAGGTAGTTAACATATCCTAGCCACCGTGATGATGATGATGAGAGAGAGACACGCAAACTCCAAATATACAGCAGCAGGCATCATGGTCTGGATCAAACCCACGACCTCCTGTACACCAGGTGAGGATAGTTAACATCTCCTAGCCACCGTGATGATGATGATGATGAGAGAAAGAGACACGCAAACTCCAAATATACAGCAGCAGGCGTCAGGGTCATGTTCAAACCCACGACCTCCTGTACACCAGGCGAGGTAGCCAACATCTCCTAGCCACCGCAGCGTCCCATAACTTGTGAACCGATGTGTTTGTTTGTGTGTAGTGGGGAGAGGGGGGTTCGCGCACCTCTGCAGACTCCTGGCGCTGCACTGGTGGGGGGCCGGCCCCCCGCGTCGCACGTGAGTCCGCGGAGCGAGTCGCAGGGCCTCTGCGAGTCGCAGTCCTCGTTGAAGAGCTGCGCGCAAACGCGGCAACAGCCGCACGCGTCCCACACGAGGGGCACCCCGGGGCGGCACGGAGCCTCGGGGGGAACCGCGGGGCACGAGGGGCACGCGGAGGGGCACGAGGAGGAGACGATGCGCGCCTGGGGGGTGGGGGGTGGGTGGTGGGGGGGGGTGATGGGGGGGGAGATGGGTGGTGGTGGGTGGGGGTGGTGGGTGGGGAGATGGGTGGTGGTAGGTGGGGGGTGGTAGGTGGTGGGTGGGAGGGGTGGTGGGGGGTGATGGATGGGGGGTGGTGGGTGGGGGGAAATGAAGGGTGGTGGGTGGGGGGAGATGGGGGTGGTGGGTGGGGGGAGATGGAGGGGTGGTGGGTGGGGGTGATGGTGGGGGTGGTGGGTGGTGGTGGGTGGGGGGTGGTAGGTGGTGGGTGGTGGGTGGTGGTGGGTGGGGGGTGGTAGGTGGGGGGTGATGGATGGGGGGTGGTGGGTGGAGGGAGATGGGGGGGTGGTGGGTGGGGGGAGATGGGGGTTGGTAATCGGGGGGGGGAGTGGGGGGATGGGGGGATGGTGGGTGGGGGGAATGGGGGGATGTGGGGGGGGGAGATGGGGATGGTGGGTGGGGGGAGATGGAGGGGTGGTGGGTGGGGGGAATGGGGGGATGTGTGGGGGGGGAGATGGGGGTGGTGAAGGGGGGAGATGGGGGGGTGGTGGGGAGAGGGAGATGGGAGGTGGTAGGTGGGGTGGGGAGTGGGGGGGATGGGGGTGGTGGGGGGTGATGGGTGGGGAGTGGGGGGAGATGAGGGGGTGGTGGGTGAGGGGGGTGGGGAGTGGTGGGGGGTAATGGGGGTGGGGAGTGGGGGGGGTGGATGGGTGGGTGGGGGGAGATGGGGGGTAGTGGGTGGGTGGGGGGGATGGAGAGATGGGTGGCAGGAGGATGGGGGTGGCACATATTCATACAAATTACAAAGTTAAAGGTCACCCGTGTAGCCTGTAAAAGCTACAGAGGAAAGTTCTGAAAGTAAGCGGCACGGTGTGTGGGGAGGGGGGGGGGCTCTGGGGACATGTACACACGGGGGGGGGGGGAGTGGGGGGCACGAATGTAAACAATGAATAAGAATCTTGCACACGCATGGATTCTTAAAGATGTATTTGTTTACTTAACATTCACCCTCTCTTGTAGATTATATAAATCTATTGATTTATTTTCGAATCTATGCAGGTGCAAACTAAAAAACCCCTTCATCTTCTCCTCTGACTGCTGACTGCCTCTCTAATAAACACGGAGACCCCCACAGACTCACACAGAGACCCACAGACTCACACAGAGACCCACAGACTCACACAGAGACTCACACGGAGAT